ACAAAGTTGGTTTAATCCAACTCTTTTGAACACATATATTGCTTGAAAGATAAACACGTTTAAATTAAACACAATTAATCAAAGTCCTTCATGGAAACTCCCATTGCTTGCTTGATGTTCAAGAAAAAATGAGGTTCGTAGAGAATTAGACTGCTCATTTGAGCTTCTGCAGGAACCAATGTTTTTTTTTCTTTCTTACATCTTAAGCAGGTATGGTTGAGCTCCTGTTGTTAAAACAGTTCAAAATCTATACTGAATATTTTTGGACTTTGGGAAAAACCATAGCACCCAGAGGAAGCCCATGCTGACATAGGGAGAGCATCCAAACTTAGCACAGAAAAACCTCCTCATCCATCCAGGATTTAAACCAGCAACCTTCTTGCTGTGAAGCAACCATGCTAACCACTTAGCCACCGTGCTGCCTAGTTCAAAATCTCCATAATATAAAACAATTAGGGCTTTTTAGCAGATTAAATTAGCTTGATTCATATTGATTTCAAATATATATACACATATAGATATATATGTATATATTTATATAGATATATTTATTTATTTTTATTTTATTTTTTTATTTTTTAAGACCATTTTGCTTCAAAATATTTACGTGAAGAAACTTTCAGTACATGGACAGAAATCTCTCAGATTCAGTGATGTAAAGTAACAAATTACAAATCCTCAAATGACTGTAATTGAGTAGTTTTTCTTAGAAATTGTAATTTACTAAGTAGTTTTAAAAATGTGTACTTTTACATTCCCTTGAGTACATTTTTAGGGCTGTATCTGTACTTTTACTCAAACTACTTTCCTTCAACCTGCAGTCACTACTTTTATTTTCTCTTTTATTTTATTTTATTTTACGTGGATTAGAAAAATCAGTCCTGTGATTCCTGTCGAATCAGATCGCACATAGAAGGTAAATCACATAATGACGTCAGATTGACGTTGTAGGCCAACATCGTGGGGACTTTGCATTTTGTTTGAAAATGAAAATTGAGTTGACGTCAGAACCCAATATCAAACTCCAACGTCCAACCTAAAATCAACCAAATATCAACGTCTAATGATGTTACAGCTTGACGCTGTGTGAATGTTACCACTATCAGATGCTGGATTTTGGTTGCCATACTTAATAAATAAATGTCAGCATTTAACATTAATATGAAGTTGGTTAAAGATTTTGGCAACGTTGGATTTTGGTCACTTTTTAACAGAACCAGAAATCAACAAAATATTAAAGTCATCTGATGTTATTGGACATCAATAGTACATTGTCCTTAGTCACTGGCTAGACATTGAATTTTGGTCATCTGACATCACAACCTAAATCTAACCTAATGTTAACAATTTATGATGTGTGCCTGCAGGGCAATGACTAAATGCACTACAGAAAGTTACGTTTACACACATCCACAAATTACATGTAAATGCATCAGCTTTTTACAATGTAATACTCACTACTCATGAGTACTTTTGAAAACATTTACTCATAATTTGAGTAATATTTACAACAGATCATTTTACCCTACTTGCACTACATTTTTAGGCAAGTAATGGTACTTTTACTTAAGTATGATTTTTCAGTACTCTTTCCACCACTGCACAGATTTGATAAAAAAAAAATCAAATTTGACGTTCGACCGCAAAATCCGTGATAAGAATCAAGTTTTTTTTATTTTTTATTATTGAGTTGAATAAATTGGATTTCCATTTATGCACATATACAACTATTTGAAATACTAAAATCTCATGGTTAAAAAAATGGCAAAATATTGAAAAAAATTAATTCAAGGTTGTCCAAATGATGTACTTATCAATGCACTTTAACCAAATGAATATTTTGACATGTTTACGGTAGCAACATTTTAAAAAAAAAGTCTTCATGGAAGATTGCAATGATTTTTTAAATTAAATTAAAATGGATCAATTAATTTTTGGCTAATACTACTTTTCGTATTCCGAAGATGGATTTGAAATATCTTAGTGTGTACATGATAAAACAATTTTCATTGCAAAGCTAACTATTTCAAATATCTTATAAATGTTTTATAAAAGGTTAAACTAAACAAATGTGATGTTTATTTTCTATTTATGTCTATTTTCTGACTTTCCTCTGTCCCGTCAGATAAATTCAGCCTGCATATTTGAATGCATTTAGGTTACATTTAATGCACCATGTAAATAAACAGCAGCAAGTTCCTACCAGACTATCACATTCTTGCAGGGGCATATCTGGCTTTCCAGATAAAGCCAAGATACATTCCAGCCAAAGAGGAAATTTGTTGTTACTTTCCTAGTTTAGAAAACCTGTTCCCGAGTCATTTTCTTGATTGAGTCATTTCCTTGAGAAACGCCTTTACATGGTTTTACTAGCTCAACTAAATACTGTGCAGTCATTTTTAAATAATTACTCACTTAAGATTTTAAATGTGACCTCAAAAAAACACCACTAAATGATCTCTTTCATTATAAATCAGATTTCAAAATGCCACTACAAAACATGTAAGTGTCCAGTGGTTCTAAAAAAGGCATGTCATGACAACAGCATTGGGATGATCACAGGAACTGTAAATCATAACATTTCTAGTGAAGCGTCATTGCCTAAATAGAGGTGAACTAGCATCATCCTCACATGGCAAACATGAATAATGCAGGTTAACTATTTGCTTACTCCACATCCCTTTGAGGCATGTACCATAACAAAGAAAAATGACACCTGGTTTGTGTTATTACAGGTGTGCAGTTTTACTGTGTTACAGACCATTTTAACAGGGTTTTAAACATCTGCTTTTTGTATAGCCTACGTAGTGCGTAACACCAGCATTATTAATTTGCATCTGTGAGGAGATATATTTCTGAACATACCACCTCTTAAAGTGTGCCTGCGGATTTGGGGAACACAAATTAAGTCAATACATCAATTGTGTATTTGTGTTAAAACTTAAAATGTGTGTTTCAGTACTTCACAAAACATATAGTACTCTCCTTTTCCAATCTCACAACCCCAAGAGCCCTTCAGGACGTATGTAACTAATCACCATTTGATCTGGTTATACAAAAAATACTCAGCATTCTTTCCTAAATAGCTTTACAAGAATTAACAGATTAGATAAGCAGGAAATGGGGAAAACAGTCGCAGTGGCTCCACAGATAAAAACACAAAACGCCAGACATAAAAACAACATAATGCAATGAACGCCTGTTGAAACTGAACCCATCCCTGTCACAGCTTGCAGCAAAACTCCACTCACCGTCGGGAAACTGTTAAACAGCCTACCCTATAAGGTAAAACTTAGAAAAGTGACACGAGAAAGTTTACCTTAATCTTCCTTGTGTGGCTGCGAGACCGAAGTATTTCCCAACACTGTTTTACTGTATCATCTGAAGAAGCAGAGGACTGTAATAATCCATTTGATAGACACTTGATATGAGCCAAACCAATGAAGTCTCCAACTTTAAAGTAAGGCGTGTGTGTTTACCGGTGTGTGGTCCCGTCTGGTTGTGTCAACACATAATAAGCGCTCAAATGTTGTTGATAAACTTGCGATGGGTTCCGAACTTTATCTAGAAATACTGTCCAGACAGGCGGTTCTTTAGTTTTGACACACACACATCCCCCGTGGGCGCGCGAGGCGTGGTCACGCTCTGTCACATTCAAAAACCTTTGATTCCAACACACGTGCTATACACGGAATTTTATTGTATTTTGTATAAAACCTTCCTTCTGCATCTACACTCTCTCTGAATCAGTTTTTTTTTAATAAGAGAGTTGTTAAATGTCATCCAGACTTTCCCAAACTTGCTTGAAAAAAAAAAAAAAAACTGTAAATTTTTAAGTAGCTACATCCGAAACAACAATTATGTTTTTCCTAAAACATTTTCAAGGTCATTTTTTTGTAGTGGAAATTAAGGAAATGTATGACAAAATGGTGTGTCGTTTCTTTCTTTCTTTTTTTTTTGTCTGTTCAGTTTAGTCTTATTTTTGTTTTTGTACAATATATTTTCTTGTTCTATAAGATTGTTCTTAAGTAAAAAAATATATATATTTTTACATTTGACTTTTATGTATGTTGTCTAGCAGCTAGGGATTTTAATAATTTTACTAATATATAGGTAAACACATAGGTGAACATATATGCACTCGCACACACACCTCTCTCTCTCTCTCACTATATACTGTGTGTGTGTGTGTGTGTGTGTGTGTGTGTGTGTGTGTGTGTGTGTGTGTGTGTGTATGTAGGTACATGTATGCACATATATAGTTAAAGTCAGTATTATTAGCCCCCTTTGAATTTTTGTTTTTATTTTTAAAATATTTCCTAAATTATTATAGGCCTACATTCAAATTATTTAATTTATTGGCAGGTCATTCCACTGTGGTGGTCCCAAAATAATAAGGGACTAAGCCAAAGGAAAATAAATTAATGAATTAAAATTATTATTAAAGTACTTTTTAAATTATTAAAGTACAGTAAACCTTTTGGTTACTAACATTTTTCAGTTCTTTTGGGTTCATCACAAAAATTTGGATACAAACCGGAGCAAACTTACACAAGCACTGGGAGAACATGCAAACTCCACACAGAAACGCCAACTGACCCAGCCAAGGCTCGAACCAGCGACTTTCTTGCTGTGAGGCGATCGTGCTTCCCACTGCGCCACCATGTCGCCCTTCCGGCAAATTCTAATATTTTTTTTCTTTTATATTTAATCAAAATTTGTAATTTGAACTATATCATTTTCTTATAACTTCTTAAGCTGAGGGAACAGCCTACCATTAATTACCATCATATACTCTTTGACATGTATATAAAGTGATTTTTTTTCTAGAAACTCTAAATAAGCACATGACCATTACTATTTAAAAGCTGTAAAACTAGAAAAATATTTTGTTTTCTAAACCAATTAATTAAAAAAAAAGAATTATTTCGGTGTGTAACAGATGTTTTCTGTCTGCTGCACCGTTATTTGAAAAGTGTCGCCCTCTGCTGATCGAGTTCACAGCTGCAAGTAGTTTGTTTCCATAACAACCCAAACATATCCGGAAAAGTATAAAGAAATAAAGTGGCTAAAGTAAAAAACGATTAAGAAAACGTTCGCGATTCAGGGCCAGGGGTGACGTTATTCAATTTCGTTTATAGAGACATAGACTTCTCTTTCCTCAGCCCTTTGAAAGATTGAGTAAAAGTTAAATGCTTCGTTTTTGATGTTAACGATGCGATGCAAATAACTTAATAGCATGAGTGAGAATGAGCAAGACAACAGACAAGACATCTCTAGCAGAGGCCTTCATACAGTTCCAGTAAGTAGTCTATGCTTCTCATTACTGGCTTAATATAGCCTTCTTTATCTTTGTCTATTCATGCTGTTTTACCTATTCTCACAACTTAACAGAATTGAAATTAAAAGGAAAGAGATTCAAGATATTAAAGATGAGATACACCAACTAGAAGATAAGAGGCAAAAGCTGATGAAAGAGGTAAGTGGTGACTTTGTGAAGATGATGATAATGAAGAGGATGAAACACGTGTATCTACAGCAGGAGGAGCTGAGAGAAGAGCAGGCCAAACATGCGCGGGAACAGCGGAGACGGATGAAGGAGATGGAGGAAAACCTGGAGAAAAAAGAGCGGGAAGATCAAGAGCTGCTGAAGGAAACGACCCAAGAGAGCATGAAGCTAAAACACAAGCAAGAGAAAGAACTAGAAGGTACATTAGTGACAAAAAACGGTCTGAGGGAAATGTTACCACAAAAATTAAGTGTCTGTCGTGTTTCAACCTAATAATTAGGCCCACACGGGATCTGCGCGCGCAAAATTACGCAGATTTTTAGCCTATCATTGATTCTGTTTATTTACTTGTGTATATTTTTATTTATTCAGTGTTTAAAATAATATTTGTAATGTTATTGACTAATATGAAAATATTCATAGGATTTATTTACAATACAGTTTGTAAAGTAATTTTCTGTCTTTTAGTAGATTTATTCTATGAGAAACTTTTTTTTTACCGAATAAAGTGGATCTAATTGGATTTGCATTCTAAACATTAAATACAAGTTAAAAAGGTAAACCTTTTTATTTTATATATTAAGGTTTTAGTTTTGATACTCCCAAAATATTCAGCATAAATCTGCAGATTTTTAACAAAATTCTTCCCAGAAATAGCAAAAAATGGCCGCAGATTCCGTCTGGCCCTACTAATAAAGAATCTCTTTAATCTACTTCCTTTTAATACAAAGGAAAATATATATCGAAGAAAATTGAAAGCTTTTGAAATCCACTGTATTTTTGTTCCTACTCAATGGTTGCACTTTTCTCCAGCATTCTTCATAAGAATAGTTTTGAGTTCAAGACATTCATAAATGTTTATAACCACGCATTTACACTATAAAAATGTTGGGATTTTCTCCATGTTGTCCCAATGTAAATCTATTACATTAACATAATTGTTTTCACATGTAAGTGGATTGCACATAAAACAATTAAGTTGCCCCAAAACAAGCGCAAGAATTGTGTCGATTCAGGTTATTTTAATAGTTTGAAGAATACCACAACTAATTTGTGGAGTGTATGAGTAAATAGGAAGGAACATCATTTTTGGGTAAATGTTATCCTTTAATTACACAATTAAGTATACCTACTGTATATTGAAATGCAATACAATACAATACACTGAAAAAATGATCTGCAAGCTTGTTGCAAACAATTTTTGTGTTGAGTTTAAACAAACAACTTACATTTAGTATTGTTTAACTTAATTTGTTTGTTTAAATTCAACCCAAATTAATTGTTTACAACCACTTAAAAAAAAAAGTAAATTCAAGCAATCATCTTTGAATATTTTGTTTCAGTTTACAATAATTGACCTACGTGTTACTCATCTAAACATTTGATAGATTTGTGTTGGTGTGTTTTGTGAATAATTGTTGTCCTTTTCAGAAAAAATATTCAGTATTTTTTTTTCAATGAAACAGTTTCAGATTCAGTTCATTAAACACTTTTTATTTAGTTACAGCTGTTAGTCATAGCTCCTTACATGCATAATCTTTTTTCATAATATCATAGCACAATAATAAGTAATTATTGATCATGTTATTGCGTTATTATTTGCCCTCTGTGTGTGTTTGTGTGATAGAACTGTGCTGTAAGCTTGCAAGGCTGCAAGTTGAAGTGGAAAAACAGACAGGAGAACGAGACGCATGGCTGCAGTATAAGACCGAGGGTAGTATGAAAGACCAGCAAAAGATACAAAAACTGGAAAAACGAACCATTTTGTCACAAATAACTTTCCACGATATATCAGGTGTGTTTTTCATCTTTTGCTTTTACAGCATTTAAATCAGGAATATTTATAATTTTAAAAAAATCTGAACACAGTTATGGTCAGTCATAAAGCATCATGCAGAATCCGCAAGACATGAATTAAAAAAAAAAATTAAAAACAGCATTATTTAGTATGATTTCACATAGTGGTGGTTTAAACGAAATAAAAGACAAAATCACATGTTTGCAATAAATGTATTATTTTTTAAATAAAATGTTTATACCTGATTCTTAAAGGCAGTTCACATTCTGTCATCATTTACTCAACCTCCCACTTGTTCCATAAACATGTTTTCTTATGTTAAACACAAAGGAAGATATTTAGAAGAATGTTGTTAAACAAATAGTTGTGCTGAAAAGAAACTTAGTGAGTAAATTCTAAAATTCTAAGAGAACAAACCCTGTAAATCCTTACTGTACATGAATGATTAATGACTTATCTGGGTACAAAGTACTTAGAATCAGGTTGAGCAAACATAATTTTAATTCTGAATTAGATTGTTTACATTCAGCTAAAATTATGTGGATTTTAAACATCTGCTATGTGAAACAAACAAACGGTATGTAGTTATTACAATTTCTCTTTGTACTTACAGTAGGACCATAACAATAATAATAAATAATGTTTCAAACACATAAAACAAATAATAATTCAATAAAACACATTCAGAACATTTTCAGAAATCTCTTGTTGTGGCTAAAGAAGAACAGCAGCAAAACCTTGCACAGAGTTTGGAGGAAAAAATTCAGTTCGCCACAACGGTACTTAACTCTTCTTTTAAGGATAACAAATAAATCTGTCATGAAGTACTGCAACTGTATTTATGCTTTCAGAAAGAAACAGAATTACTTGATGAAGCCAGTATAACTGAGCTTCAAGAAACTGAGTGGCTAAAAGAACAGGTATGTAATGCTTTAGCTTCTATACACATGTATTATTTAGTAGATTATATCATCCACCTAATCTCACATTTCAGGTTCCGATATATATTGACAAAGTCACAGTATTGGAATCCATTGTCCAGAACTTACAAGAGGAGAACCTGAAACACATTAACACTCTTTCCCAAATAATCGATTCTCTAATCGGGTATGAGTTTTAGATATTGATCCACGAGACATTTTTGGACTAAAGTTTGAATTCATAGTGTTTTGTGTTTCCTTCAGCACAGGCAATGAATTTCCTGTGCAATCTGCTAGCTTTGTGTCCCATGACACTCAGAGTGCGGATGAGAACATAATGAAAAAATGCCTTGAGGAAACATCAGGTAATCCAATCATTCCTAATTTTAGCAGTATTTAGTCTAAGAATATCAAAAGGTTTAACTGAACACCTGGTGCCTTTTAATTGCTAAGCATTGGCATTGTATAATCGGTAGGTGGCGCCATAAGAGTAGAAAACTAGACCAAGTACATGTATAACACTTGGAAAAACATTTGTAAGTTTGTTTGCCACTTGGAAAAATGTGGTTTGCCATGTTTGTTCAAAGGAGTTTAGTTCTGCCGTCAGTTTGTTTTCAGCCAATCACCTGCATGTAACTGATTACTCCAGTCTGGAGATGGAAATATGATATAATAATGAAAATGCTAAAATAAACAAGCTGCTAATCCTAGCAAAAAGATTATTATATAAGGATTGCAATACTTGTCTGATTGTTAAAGGGGCAAAATCTAAGAAATTTTATATCACAGCTTTATGTGAACAGCTTTACAACAGTGCTTTAAAAACAACAATTTTCCTGACTTCCTAGGTTATCTTTAGCTCCAGTTTCCATTCAACAATTTTGATGTGCTTTTAGGAGGTTGCATAAAAAATAAAATCCTGGATGGAAATGAAAGGAAACTGTGCTCAGCTGAGATCTTTTAAATTCATATTTTTTAAAGGAAGCTATACAATATTATATTTGTGCAAATACATTAGATTAGTCAGTACTGAAGCTAAATCTGGAGCTTATTTAACAAGATAGCTTACAATAACAGCCCAAAAAACTAGTACGTCCATATTTACGTTATAGAACAATATTAAATACAAATTTTAAAAAAGAGAAAAATCAAGAGAAGCAAAAAAAAAAAAAAAAACATTTTGTTGAAAATTGGAGGTTGTAATTTTTTGTTGCAATTTTTTGCTTGAATTTAGTTGTATTATCTTTCAATTTCTAAATATGTTCGGTGACTAAAATATTATTTCAATAAATACATATGTTTTATAAATATGTTTCATATTCACTGAGAAATATTAAATTTCAAAATAGGGTGTACTCAATTATGCTTATATATATATTATTATATATATATATATATAAAGTTCTCTCCGTTAAACAAAAATTGGGGGGAAAAAATAAACTAATTCTGACTTCAACTGTGAGTGTGTATTCTCTTGAGCATATGGGATTGGAACAGTGCTTTATTAGCTTTAACTTCACTTCAAACACTTAAAAAAAAAAAAAATAAATAAAAAATTCAAACCACTTTAAACACTCAACAAAAACTGCCTTCTTTCATCTTCGCAATATTGCACAGATTAGACCATTTCTCTCATGATGTGATGAAGAGAGGATTATCCATGTCTTTATCACATCCCGTCTTGATTTCTGTAGTTCACTTTTTTGGGGGTTTACTTACAAGTTCTCTCTGAAGATAATTAATTTATTCTCTTTTTGGCTTTTATTAATCTTGGGTCGCCACAGTCAGAATGAACCACCAACTTATCCAGCATATGTTTTACACAGCGGATGCCCTTCCAGCTGCAACCCATCTCTGGGAAACATCCATACACACTCATATACTATGGACAATTTAACCTACCCAATTCACCTGTACCACGTCTTTGGACTGTGGGGAAAACCCAAGCACCTGGAGGAAACCCATGCGTACGCGGGGAGAACATGCAAACTCCACACAGAAAAGCCAACTGACCCAGCCGAGACTCGAACCAGCAATCTTCATGCTGTGAGGCGACAGCACTACCTACAGCACCACTGCATCGCCCTCAGAAAATTATAGTATATTCAAAATTCCGCTGCACAGGTTCTGACACACATATCATCACGCCACCATATTACTCCAGTACTTCAACAACTACAAGTCACGGATTGGTTTTAACCTTCAAAGCAGTGCATGGGCTAGCACCTGGTTACATTTGTGACATAGTGACTCTCGCCACTCCAGCCCGCAGTCTTCGTTTGGCATCGGGACTTACCCTGTATCAGCCACGCTGTAAACTAAAGACCATGGGTGGTAGGGCTTTCTCATACAGAGTACCTAAGCTGTGGAATGTGTACCCAATAGCGCATTACAAATAAAATGTATTATTATTATTATTATTATTATTTAATAACATAGCATACAAAAGTTCGTAGACTGGAATTTTACATGAAGGACTTTTTTTTTTTTTGCTGGGGAATCAAGACATTATGTATGATAATTTCAATGTGTCAGCAAAGATACCCTGCAAATTTTTTTAATTTATTTTTTTATTGTTATTTCAGTTAAGCTCACGGCTTCATACTCAGATTTAACAAATCATTACCCAATTTACTTTTAAACCAAACAGATTATTGGTGAACACTGCAAATTTGTGAAATATATGCGAGCAAGTATTTAATCATCATGCTAAAGCTTTAATTTCTTGAATTTATAATTTATTACAGTAAGAGAATTTTTCAGATTCCCCACCCCCTAGCGGTGTATATTACATAGCCCTATTTTAGCAGCTCCAACAGAGGCTGGCAGAGTTTATAACTCTCTGAATGCTGCCCTGGCACTGTTCAGCTAATGGCAAAGTAGAGGAAGTCTTGTCATTATATCCGCAATGCATTACAGGGCAGTTGTGTTTTCATTACATCTCAAAACTCCATGTCCTCAGCAGTTTAATCTTAATGGCCTATAAAGCTAACAGCTACATTGACTTTGGCCATCAGATGCCTTTCATTAATCACCCATAATTTATATTCCTTTCCAGAGCTGGTCAACAAGACCCTCATATTTTGACTAACTCTAAATCCAACCATACATTAATGCTGGCCATTAAATACCTGTCATTAATCACCCATAATGCCTTTTCCTTTGCAGAACTGCTCAATAGAGGCTTGTATCCCCACCAGACATTAGCAGAAGCTGAAGAGACACAACAGGAGAGCAGTGAGACGACATCACCTAGCACAACTCCATCTGACATCACAGAGATGTTCAACAGTCAGGCTAATTTCATGGTAAATGAGCTGCACTACATTTCTAGACAATACTAATTGGGTTCAATTAAAACCAGAGTAGAGATGACATCACAGTCATTAAGGTTATAGACACTGCAGGCATGCACATACATTTTGAGATTTTCATTTGTTATAATTTAAAGAAAACATACACAATTCAATTTTAAGTAGGGATGCTCCGATTGATCAGCCAGAGATCAGTATCTGGCGATAATCACATTTCATGACTCGATTGATACTCGCTAATCTGGGGTGTGTTTCTGAAAACCATCGTTAGCCAACTAAGGTTGCCAGTTGAGTCTTTACAAAAATAGTTTGTTGATTTGGCGTTTCCCAAATCCATCGTTCCAACAAACATTCGCAAACTGCGTCGCAAACTTGTACTCTTGCAAGCAGGGCCAGAGTGGGACTCATTTTCAGCCCTGGAGTTTCAACCAGACCGGCCCACCTCAATTCACGACTGACTATATTAAAATAAAGTTAATTTCCAATTCAGTTTCTAATGACACTATAACGTCTTTTTCAAGAAAACAGCTGCTTCAATTCAAATGTTCGAAAGCCCTAAAAGTTTTATATGTCTTAACAATAAAAAATAAAAATAAAAAATTGTTTTCCTAGTGAGATTTGAACATGGGTCGGCGGCATCATAATGCACTGTTTACCACTAAGCCACAATAGCACTATTACAGCGACAATAAAAATTAAGTATTGAACTGTGACCCGCAAGACTCGGTATTACTTTCTATTGATGGCTTAATCTTTTTCTCCCCTTTTTAGATTTCTGATCAAGTTATGTCAGATGTATTAATGTAGTGAATCATCAGATTTTCAATTATTATTCATTAATATTAATTATTCGAATTCGCTGTTTGGGGTCGAATGATGATAGTTAGCGTTACATCATCATTAACGTTAGTTAACCTGCAGGCTGCGCGGTTACACACGGTGCTGCGAGAAAATAAATAAGAAGAGCAGCGTTGCGGCAAAATAATGAATAAAAAGAGTGAAGCTATGGTCAAATAAATAAATAGATGAAAAAAAAAAAAGTGCGACTGCTGAGAGTGCAAGTAGCTAGGGACACCGGCCCACACGGCCAAAAAACGAACCGGCCCACCGGGAATTTTCCCAGCGCTCCTGATTAGCCAATCCGGGCCTGCTTGCAAGTACATCTCTGAAGCTGTAGTTAGAAACATAGTTCCTGGCTGCGTCCTATTTCCAGTTATCCACCCTGTGCCCTATCCATTTAGAACATTGACATTTAAGCTTGGAATTATAAAAAAAAAAAAAAAAAGAAGCATTAAATTCATCTCCCTTGGGTGTAATTTGCTTTTAAAAGTATTTTTACAGTTCAGTTTATAGCAATCTTCATATTTACAATTGTGCTTCCTTCGCAATGCACTTTGAAAACATTGATGTCATTTTGAACACAGCCGTGGCTCATGAGGAAAGCTGTAGGTGACCTATTGTTTAAACGTGGAATTTATGTTACGTCTCCAAAGCTTGTGAAAAAAAAAAAAAAAAACTCTACTACATCATTCTTTTCCCAAACGAAGCATTGTACTGTGATAGTTCAGCTGCGAGTTACAATGTTGTATGGGCAACGCACCCCTGGCCAATATCACAAGTGTTTGTCTCTCTCTCTTTCACTCTCATTGTGTTGAGCTGCTGTGAGGCTCTTTGGTACTGCAATCATTGTGCTGCTGTCAACAGTCGGAGTCTGGAAAAATATAATAGTCTTGCATGCATTTAGGGCTTTTTATATATAAGAACTTAAAGTTCTGTATTTTCAACAATATTGCAAGCTCACTCAGACTTTGCTGGAAATACTAGGAAAATAAAAAACGGATTTTTTTTTTAAACTTGAATATTTAATAACCTTTTGTTGTATACTTTTTTATTTGCAGTGAACAGTAGTTTATAGGCCTTAGTAAACAAGTAATGGATTTATAGGTGTATATTTTAAATTTGTATGCATTAAATATGCACTTCAAACTTTCTTGATTGAGACGTTGAATTCTTCCTTCATCATTTGCAATGTTTCCAAATTACAAGTCATTTTTCTTGCTTTTTTTTTTATCTTATTGTAACTTTTTTTTTTTTTGTAAAGCTGCTGCTGACCATTACATGTCCAGAGTAAATTGTTATAAGAAACATGTTTAAGGCATTACAAGAAACATCTTTAATTTATTCTGTTATGTAAGGAGAGATCTCCTTACCTAAAAGGAAAAGGTGCTATGCAATGGCAAAGTTATATAAAGCTTAAAGCATCAGAATCATTACTCAGCCAATCGCCATGACAAGGAATCAGTTCTCAGGGTGAGGTGCAAAAATCCTGATTGGAGCATCCCTAATTTTAAGTGTTTCTTTAGTCATAAATGATTGATTTGTGCCTATAGATTTACTAATAGTTATTTTTCTCCTGCACTTTAGCAGCACTAACATGCACCATACGTTTTATTCATATCTATATTGTGAAGGTTTTAATCAAGGGGGATGTAAACTTTTTTCTCGAAATGTATACACTATTATTATTATTATTTATAAGTGAACATTTGTTTTTTGTCAGTTCACTGTATTTCCAGAATTACAGATTGATAAAAAGAGATTTCTGAAAATACCCTCTATAAAAACCATTATCTAAATTAAACGTTACGGACTTCAGAGTATTCAGATTGTTGTAGTGGAAATGTTGGCAAATTAGCATATTTTTTATGTGCTCTTCAAATAAACGCTGCTGAAGTGCGATTTAGTGCGTTTGTGTAACGAGTCTCCAGCATTTATTAGATTTGCTTGGAATATTTATGAATGTCTCCAATAGACCTACAGAGTAGCAATAATGCATCCTGAGGTAAAGTCAAACAGCTATACGTCGTGTTTGCTGGCCTCACGCATCATGCACCTGTCAGTCAGTCAGCACGTCTTATTAAAGGGTTAAACCAGGGGTCACCAACCTTTATGAAACTGAGAGCTACTTCTTGGGTACAGATTAATGTGGAGGGCTACCAGTTTGATAATAACAAATATTGCTCAATTGCTCAAATAACAAATTTGCTCAATTTACTTTTAATTATACTTTGTTTTTGGTAATAATTAATGATATTCTTCCATGTGAAGACACTGATCATGTTAATGATTCTCACAAAAGTTATCAACAATGATTTAACAGGGTAGGACATACCCTGTATTTAATGCATCAATGTGCAACACTTTATTTTTATATATCTTTGCAAATATTTACATTTTTAAATGATTACTTCTATATTAGATGAAGCTTACTGGTAAGTGGCGCTATGGTGAGCTATTTTTACAACAGGCCTGCGGGCAACACATGTGATCCTAGCGGGCTACCTGGTGCCCGCGGGCACCATGTTGGTGACCCCTTGGTTAAACAAATGAAGCACAGCACTACTAAGTTTACAGAAAAGTTCACGCTGTTATAATTCACTTACCCTTTAATACATTTTAGTGCGATTATTACCCGCTATTAAAAAATTAAATGTTTTGAATGAGAAGCTGTAATGTAGCCGTGGTGCCCCGCTAAAGAAGAATGAATGTAGTGGAAACCATGATTTTAACCCATTCACCCTTATGCAGTGTCTTGCCTTTATTTTTGCACAGCAGTGAATGTATAACTTAACACACCTCAAAAAGGGCTCTCTGTGCCTGGGTTTGACTGATATTATCAGGCAAAATAGCCAGAACGGCACTCTTAAATAGGCCCTCTCTGTGAGACACTGGTGAGATAAGGCCTGTCTGTGATTTTCCCACTGCCAGTTCCAGCAGACATGGGCTAGAATATAGATGACATGAGCACAGATGAAGAACAGTCACTAGCCTTGTTAATGCAGCCAAACTGAAACCTGCTTTAATCGCAGCACATTTGTGTTTGTGTGAAGGGGCCGATACATCTGGGTCTGCTGAACGAGAGGCTGCTGCGTGTGGAAGGTAAAGCGTGTCCTCTGCATCCATCACAAGACCAGACAGAAAAGTGGAGCGTTACCACAAAGACCATCAAGGACAAGTTTCAAAATCCTGGAAAATCTGATGCACCTGTAAACGACACCTCTGAAATTCACCAGTAGTTAAAAAAAACATTTAAATGAGTACAAATACATTTATGTGAATGAGACATTTCAATACACAAAATTATAAATAATATGGATAAAGATTAAACTACATTAATGGCTAATAAAAAAAAAAGTTTAGATTGGAATCACCAATTCTCTTCATATTTTTTATGGGCAGAAATTCAATGCGCAGGTGGGGGTCCCGTTCAGGGAGCACAGGATCTCCCTTATTCACAGATGATGTTGTTGTGTTGGCTTCATCGGACATGGACCTTCAACATGTACTTGGGCCTTTTGCTGCCGAGTATGACGCAACTGAGATGATAATCAGCACCTCCTAGTTCGAGGCCATGGTGCTCCACCGAAAAAAGGTGGTTTGGCATCTACAGTTAGGAGGAAAATCCTTACGCCAGGTGGAGGAGTTCAAGTATCTCGTGGTTTTGTTTACGAATGAGGGAAGGATGGAACGTGAGACTGACATGAGGATCAGTGCAGCGGCAGCAGAAATGCAGTCAATGTACTGGTCCGTTGTGGTAAAGCAGGAGTTAAGCCAAAGCTCTTGTTTTACCGGTCAAGCTACGTTCCTACACTCACCTTTTATCTTGAGCTTTGGGTCATGAACGAAAGCACAAGGTCTCAGATACAATCGGCTGAAATGAGTTTCCTTCACAGAGTGGCAGGGCGCACTCTTCTAGATAGGGTGAAGAGCTCAGAGTAGAGGCGCTGCTCCTCCACATCAAGAGAAGTCAGCTGAGGTGGATCAGGCATCTGTTTTGGATGCCTGCCTAGGAAGGTGTTCCAGGCAAGTCTTTCTGGGAGGAGGCCTCGGGGAAGACCCAGGACAAGCTGGAGGGACCATGTCTCTCAGCTAGCCTGGGAAAGCCTCAGGATTCCCCCGGAGTAGCTGGAAGAAGTGTCTGGGGAGAGAGGAAAGTCTGAAGTTTTCTCTTAAGACTGCTGCCCCAGAAAAGCGGAAGAAAATGAATAATTGTTTCAATTAGAATAATGTAATTTACATTGATATTATATAGATATAGTTGTCACTTTTTTCATATATCCATATAACATCCATATAACAAGTAAAAAAAAAAAACAATAAATAAAGACACACCCTTAGTTCAGTGGAAGCTGCACTTTTATTTGTAAATCACCCAAATTCTGCTTCATTTTTTTGTCATATAAACAAAATAGAATCTGCAGGGATGATGCAGTAAATATGCTAAATCAATGGATAGAATCGCTCTCATATTTGGACCGTCCTTTGTGTTCTTCCCTACTGGACAGGGTCGGCGTTATGTACACAGAGCACTGATCAACAGCGCCCCCTTTCTGTCTACAGGGCCTACACCTAAACACTACCGACCCCATCCTGACACCTGCGTTTCTCATTCATATCCACACACACGCACCCACAAACACACACACGCAACTCTTCTTTCTCCAGGACGGCCCGAAAATGAAGGCGAATCTGCACATTCAGGTCGAAAAGGCAGCCATATAACTGTCAAATGTAAAATAATGACATGCCAAGCAGAAAGCAGTACAGATCGTCCCCAAATGCAATGGCGCTGAATCACAAATGTAGTGCTCTGCTAAATGCTCCCTCACAAAAACCCACCCAAAACCCCCTGGGGCACAGAACTGACTATGTGGCGTAATGATTGGTATATTTCACCCTATGTCCTTTACGAATGGAGGCCGGTGAGCATTTGAGCTACAAAGAAATTGCACTAGACATACAACTGCTTCTGAGAATACTTAGTGCTGTATCAGTCAGTTTATAGGTGTCCATTTCCCCCCGTTTTTATATTATATATATTTTTTTTTCATAATTCAGTCACTCAAAATCCGAATTATACAACCAATCATACCCATATAAATGCATAATTCAAAACACCTCCCGTAAGGAAGATCTCAAGAAAAAAAAAAAAAAAAAAAGAGAAAAAAATATCATTTCTTTCATGTCCTCAGTGGGTAAATCATAAATAAATACAAGACAATACACAAGGAATGTCTACTGCAAACTTCAACATAAAAAAATAAAGTAGAAATTGTGGTAAAACGGATGTTAGAATATCTAATTGGTGATCGTTAAATCAGGTAATGCTTGATTGATGACCGGATAAAGACAGAACTCCAACCCACAAATCCCTCCCCGATCCCTTGTTTCGCCATTTCATGGACAAAAAAAAGGGAAGTGAAGCCGTGATTGCATGAAAACCCACCACATTCTGGCACTCACACTCTTTCAACACTCTTGTTTTTCGTTACAGACGCAGATCAGTTTGATATCGGTTACTGCGTTACACAAAGTACAAAATGAGCGCTGAGTCCTCCATGTCTGGGAAACAGAGTCGTAGCCCTCCCAACCCCACCCATCATATTCCATAATGCCCTTCCCACCCGTCCCTCTGATTCCTGTACAAGTGTGTCTCTGTCAAGAGTACAACAGCCAACTGGAGAGAGATTAAAGGTTTGAGATTTGCCATATAATTCATCCTTGGGAAGCGTCCACCCTCCTACATGAACTGCATCTGGAATCAGAGAAATGTAGATTATTGAAGACGTCGAACGCCATTTTATTTTGTGCATTTGACAGATTTGATTTTAATGGCAGTACATTGAACTGACAAGATTATCTTGTTGTGGATGACTGGTCAAGATAATTTATTAGTTTTTTTTAGATTAACTCAATATGCTAACGTATGCAGTAAAGCACCCAATCAATGATGAAATGAGTTTATGAAGCTGCAACTCAGGATTTGTTCTACAAAAATGAGTAAAAAGGGGTCATGTCATGTAAAGGAGCCAATTATGGATCGCTATAGACTGACTTTTCTCTAGGAGAACAGCTCTGAACAGACATTCTATAGGACGCAATAGGAGAGGCATTACTGAGAGGATTATAATGTGCATGAAGGAGGTTGGTGTCGTGATCTCGTTCCCTTGGAGTGTGCATTCACTTGGACAACCTAAAGAAAATGCTGATTTAGTTCATTTAAATGTTTAGGAATGAAACTTGAGAAACAGTTAATGTTTAACTTAAAGCTTAACAAACAGTTTTGGAGAATTACTTGTTTCCTCAAAATGCCCAAACATACTGTGGAAAAGGCGTTTCAAAGATGGCCACAGAGTGAAATAACTTGCCTTGTAGAGACTTTGGCTATATGCAGTGCATACTTCATACTTATATTAACATATATAGTATATGTACTATATATAAATACATGAATATATTTTAAAAGGCAATGCATTTTGCAATATGTATAAAGCAAGTATTCAAATCTAAACTTTAGAACACATTAGCTACAACATTGGGTCTTGATGACATACTTAAAATACTCCAATTTGATACAAAAAGCTGCGCAGAATTGATGTCCAAAGCTTTAAAATAGAGGTCTGTGCGGGACAAATTTATTAGTCCTGCTGCTGTGTGGTTTTATTCCGCATCCAACCGCTCCCACCATATATTCAGCCTTTGTTCACCCGCTGCCTGACCTGCCACGATTTCTACCTGACCCAACCGCTTCTGCTAAATTTAGGTCTGGTTTCCAAAATCTCACGTTTAAATTGTGTACTACCAAAAAAAAAGAGAGATAACAGATAAAACTGTAGGTTTGCAAGGATTGTAGGCCAAGCATGAGGTTTGTTTGCCCCTTTGTGATGAGACATGAGTGCCGCCTTGAGGCTGATTTATACTTCTGCATCAAGTACATGCATATGCATATGGTCTGGCGCAGCCTTCACACGGTCGCATAGCCCTCACTGTGGCTGACACAGACGCTGATGCGCAACTCTCCAAAAATTTAACTACACGTCGCAACCACGCATGGCACAAGCTATGTGATTAGTTGGCTTGGTAGCAGTGACGAGCGCGGGTGGTGCTGAGAGCCACGAGCCTGATGGAGCAATTGTCTACAAGTGTCGAGTCCTGTAAAGGAGCTCCAGATGAAAGTTTTTGTTTTTTGTTTACCTTATGATTAAAGTTGATGCACGTCCGCCGGTGTCCTGACATTTGATCCTACCCATCAGATTATGCCACCAATACTGTATTTCAGTGGTTCTGAGGTTGGGGTTAGGGAATCATGTAGGTTAGGGCATATCACATTACTTCATACTAAAATTTACACTTGTAACAAAATCTGATGAGTAGCATATTGCATCATCAAAATGTGCTCCTTACTTTTTGAATGAGAGGTACTCATTCAAACTCAGAGGAACATAAAAACCTGCTGCCAGCTAGCAATTCAGAAGTATTGCAGAGCAACACATGCAGCATGCAGAAGTATAGATGCATGGCTACATGAAAGGCAGGCGCCTTGGGTCACGCTTATCACTCGACACAGGAGTATAAATCAGCCTTTAAACCTGAAGTTCCAGTCGTTGTGACTGCTAAATTGGAAAACTTTGAGGTAGGCTTTTAATACATCACGCAAAGGGTCCTTTTTTTTTCATTTGCATCTATGACGCATGAAAAGACTCTCATACATCAGACTTGCTTGATGTGGGTTTCCTAATAGTAAACTGACCATTTTGTAATGCAAGCTGAAGGACAGCGCATCTTCATTTAGCTCTTCCATGTAGGTAAAGCTCGCTCAGAGAACTGTTATGCAGATGACGCGCCACAGACTGCGGAAAAAAGCATGTGCCATGTATTCAGCATGTGTAACAGTTGTGGCTGTCCCGCTGCTCAATAAGATATATGCTGTTCTGAAATAACGTCGGGACTCTGGAACAATATATTGTTAGCCTGCTCGCTTCCGTTCAAATTACACCAGAGTTACCGACCCCTACACTGTTTTATTCAGAAACGTATTCCCGCACCGCAAGACATCAGTTCGGGTCCTGTGGCTGACCTCTACTTCAAATTTCCACCTTTGTTCACAAGTTACTACTTCTTTACATTGAAAGTTTAACGCATGTAATTCTGCATGACATGACCCCTTTACATCAAGGGAAAACAGAACAACACATGCATGATTTGTAAATGAATGTCAAGAGCTCAGTGATACACCCCTCTCAACATAAAATGACACAATTTAAGGAACATCCTTTGAACAGCTAAACGTTGACAAATCACATCACCATGACATACAGAAAACATTGCAGTACTTGGAGATAAACAAGAATCAAAGATTTGACAATAGAAACGCTGTAACGGAGCAAGAAGCTGTCAATCACACACACACGCACACACAGCAGACATCCTGTACCTAAAGACGATCTAAAGGAAATCCTTCATAGACAGCTGTGCAAAAGGGTCCTGTCCTGGAGCTCTGAGAGGACTTGAACTGGAAGGACTAGAGGCTGTAGAGAGCTAGTTCAGAAAGAATGAAAGAGATTGAAAGAGTTCGAGGACAGCCAGAAAACTTACTCACACACACACAAGAGGGAAATTCAAAGACAGAGAATAAAAGATGTTCAGAAAGAGAAAAGCTCTGTGCACTAAAACCCCTGCATTCAGTGCCGTTTTCCTGAGCTAACACTGGTACAGAAATGAAGTAGGGGTGATGGGAACTCGATATGTATTTGGAGCTGAGAATTTGGTGCAGGTGTGGAATACATATCTATTCCCCAGAGATGTGTGAAAGCGACAATGCTTGCTTTCGTATTCAGAATAGAGCGGCGATGGCACATGAGGTGGACAAACTAGAGCGTATTCTGAATTAAGCCTAGAGCAGCTTCTAGAATAGAGTGTGATCAGTCAGGGTTGAGCTGATGCCTCTATTCCAAGGAGGATCATGGGGCTGGATAAATGCAAAAACATTCAGCTGAAACCTCTATGCATATTACTGTGCTCTAAAAAGTTTCATGGATTAAGATGTGGTCCCATTAGGAAGCTGTTTGGAGAATTCTTGCAGGCTAAATAAGTTGGTTCATAAGGCGATGAAGGCAACTCAAAGAGGTCACTTTCAAACCAAGCAACTTCACGTTGGGTAATAGGTGAATCTGTGTGAATTTAAGATAATAAGGCCCATATACACTACCAGTTAAATGTGACCCAAATCCGATTTTTCGCTCATATGTGACACAGACCTGATCTGTTCTGACTGTGTAAACACGAAAAAAATGCATGCATTCAGATATTCAGAGATCAGTTTCAGGCCTCCTTCATATGTGGAAATAAATCAGATGTGTGACAATACGACTATCATGTAAACAGGCAGATCAGATTTATTGAGGCATTCAGTTTTGTATGTCATGAAACGTGCGACAATGTGGTACTTCTCTGCGGTTTAATGACATTGAAGAAAGAGTGTGTGTGTGCTCTTCCTGAAATTTCGGATTCAGTTCTCCTCATTAAAGCCTGCCACAATTTGCTCCCACCAGATCTGAGATATCTCTCGTACCCACAAATTCCTCTGAATGGTGGCGGACACATAAATAAACCATAGGCACAAGCTGCGATGACAGCCCTTTCCCTCCTCCTCCACCTGAAAATATATATATATATTTTTTTTTATAATTATTTTATAGGGATTTTCACCTTTATTTTTGAAAGGACAGTAGAGAGAATTGGCAGGAAAGCATTGGGAGCAGAGAGAGGGGAAGGATCGGCATAGGACCGCGAAGTGGAATCGAACCCGGGTCGCCGCGAGCACCGGAGTGCATGTGTCGACGCAATAACCACTACACCACTGGCGCCGACCCTCAAAATCATTTTAAAGTTGGGTAAACTTTGCATTTTTTACAGAGCTAAAAGTAAGACAATTTCTTCCATCATGGCTTGTGTGACGCAGATGCTAGAACCCACTTTTACGCATGTGCGTCGTCGTAAATTGTATGGCAAGTGTAAACGCATGAATCGGATAAGGGTCAGAATTAAAGGAACGTGTAAATGGACAGGCAAAAAAAATTAGATATAGGCAACAAATCGGAATCGGGCATCAAGACCTGAAATTGTAAATCTGGCCTAAGGCCCCGTTTACACTAGTACGTTTTAGTTTTAAAACGGCGTTTTAGAATGAAAACGATCCGCGTCTACACTAGCGTTTTACCCAGCGTTTCTGAAAAGCTCTCCGTCCACACCACAGCACTGAAAACGCACATCACATGAACACACACACACACTCTAGCATGCGATGCGGCATATCTACCCAGATGAGAGCTGTTCTCGTTGGACTGTTCATCAAGGATCTACCGCTGGATCAAATCTCACTATATTTGTTAAACGTAATATTTAATTCATCTTCTCTATATCTAACGACATATTCCCCGACTTTGGTCTTTTGAATCTATTACTTGTTCTCAGGTAACGTGTTTTGGCTGAGCACAAAGATAAGTTAATAATTAATGTAACCACGCACATTCTGTATACTGACTGATTGTTTGCCTTTTTTTCCTATAATGTATAAACTTATTGTAGGTAATACTTTTATAATGGCCATTATTGATTATTAAAACTGATATTCAGCAAAAGAGAGGGTATGTTTCGTAATTTCAATGAAAATGAAAGGAGGCAGTTATGTTATAGGCTTTAGGCTTTTGTTATAAATATGCAAGCAGTGAAGATGACGCTCATATGACACCTCAACATCTCTGCTGTCTGTTAAGTTGTTAATATCAAAATGAAAATAGCAGTTCCTTATATTATGTTTTTATTTTATTTTTAAGATGTTGAAACAATGCATGTATCCAGGATGATGTGAATAAGGTCATAAAGTACACTGTTCCCTTTGAACATTCACCCGACATGTCCTCGTGAGTCTGTTTTACATATCAATCTTGCGAGTCTTACAAGAAGAGGATGCAGGACTAAACTGTGTAGGCTACTTAATATTGAGGAAAAGCCCCAATCAGAGAGGCTGTTGTCTGCAGCCCCGTCTCCGTTTTCCCCCATTCACACTGAGACAGAGCAGCAGCGTTTTAGAATGAAAACGCTCTGTTTTCAGTGCTCAAAAACTCCGGCGTAGTGTGGACGGATGGCACAGCCGTAGCAAAACTTAAACGTTTTAAAACGAAAACGCATTAATGTAAACAGGGCCTAAGGTGCCATGTACGCTAGTATATTTTGTTTTAAAGCGTATAAGTTTAGTTACATTTTCCGCTAATTTTGCATTTTTGACCTTCTGAAGTTAGTTTGGAAACACTGGTGTTGTTTCAATGTGGATGGACCAAAAAGCATACTTTTAAAAGCATAGATGCAGCTATCCACAATAATGAAATTCAGCAAAATTTTGTTGCTTTCCAATAGTATAGCGATGTGTAAAACAGCCAACACAGTGAATTTATCAAGTCAATAATTTGTTACAATTTCAATTAAATAAAATTTTTATTTTTTAATTGAATGAAACATTGTATAAATCAAGAAAAATCATGCAAAATTACCAATCACTCAGGCCCTGTTTATAAGTTCTGCTAAGGTTACACCTTCCGGCTACACTACCTCGGAGTTTTCAAGCCCCAAAAATGGAGCATTTTGGAAATGCTGTTTTAGTGTAGATGGGGGAAAACAGAAACATCTGAAAGTGGAGGCATGGCTGCAGACTCCCGAGGACACTTCGGGTAAATCTTCAAAGGAAACAGTGTACTTTATATCATCATTCACATCACCCTGGCTACATCGTTTCACTATCTTAACAATAAAATGAAAACATGTTATAAGGAACTGCCTATTTTCACTATGATATAAACAACTTTATATCACAAAGTTTATATCATAAACAGACACTAAAAAATTTGAGGCGTCGTGTAGCTGGCGTCATCTTCACTGTGTGCATATTTATAACTAAACGGGGTCTATAACATAACTGCCTGCTTTCATTTTCAGTGAAAAATATGAAACATACTGTCTCTTTTGCTGAATATCAGTTTTTATAATCAACAATAGCCATTATAAAAGTATTACATACAATAAGTTTATACAATATAGGAAATAAAAGCAAACAATCAGATCAGTCAAATACGCAGAATCAGTGTACGTGGTTACATAAATCAATATATTAACTTATCTTTGTGCTCAGCCAAAACACGTTACCTGAGAACAAGTAATATATTCAAAAGACCAAAGTTGGGGAATATGTTGTTAGATATAGAGAAGATGAATTAAATATTACGTTTAACAAATATAGTGAGATTAGATTCAGCGGTAGATCCTTGATGAACTCCGACATGCATAGCTCTCATCTGGGGGTTCTGTGCTCAAAGTACCCGCTGACTACCTGGAGCTCAGACGCGTACATATACTGCAGAGCATGCCAGAGTGTGTGTGGTCAGGTGATGTGCGTTTTCAGGGGTGTAGTGTGTACGGAGAGCGGTTCAGAAATGCTAGATGAAACGCCAGTGTGGACAGAGTGTTTTCACTCTAAAACGCCATTTTAAAACTAAAACGTATTGGTGTAAACAGGGCCTTTGATTGCAATTAAAATGTGTGGAAGTAATCTGCAAAAATTCCCCAAATAACAATAAATATGACCACAACTTAAGGCTTCTAGATTTAATTGTGGTAGACACCAGTTTGTGGTAGTCAAGTGGTCATACAGTACCTGTGCCCCTGACACTGGGCCAAAGGGATTGGCAGGCCGCATCACAGGTTGTGTGTACATCATTGTGGGCTGAGTCATCATGGCCATGGAGCCCATTTGAGGAGGCTGGAATGACAACAAAACCTAAGTTAAAGTATAGACAGAGGAACGTGAGTCAGTCTAAAGCCACTGTTCTTATCTGATCAGACTGGAAATTGTGTTGAACTCCACCTCAGTTACATAGAACACAGCAGATGATAAACTTCTATTTTTTGTCTTTGCATTTTTTATTTTATTTTTTTTTAAGAGCAACTCATACTCATTTAATTTACTTCTACTCTTTTAACACTAAGACAAAAAGTGAGACAGATACAGGAACTAGACCAGAGGATCCAAAATGGATGAGTCATAATGGCAGTGACAGTTATGTAAGTGCAGATGCTGTTATTTAAGAGCATCATTTACAGAGCACCTTCCTCTCTTTTAACCATTAACCAAAGCCTGTGCTACTTTACCTGAATGGCTCACTCAGTCTGTATTATTGAGTCCTAATGAAAATACTGAAAGATGGTTAAACTAATAGGGGGAAAAATCTACATTTAAAACAAAAAAAGATGACTGTGCCCTCTTAGTAAGAACCAATTTTAAATCTAGTTTAGAATATTTATAAATAAAATGTATAACTATTTGACTATACCCAACTATAATAATAAATATATTAAAATTTGTAACACTGTATTCATTTAAAACTACTATTAAAATTATAGTTAAACATATAATTTTTTTTAATTATGATTATCATTTAAAAGAAGATAGATTTAACAACAACATGTATCAATTAAATATTTTTATGTATAATTACAAATGTTCAAATATAAAATCATAGGGAGCTATATGGACATGTTAACGAGCATCATGGAGAAAATATACATTAGAACTAACCTTAAAATACAGAATTATTAATAAAATGAGATGCTATGAGGATTTTAACAGGTCTTTCATTCTAAATAAAAACAATTATAATTTTAAATAAATAATGTGATCTAATGATAATTATTTTGGTTACACTATAACGGTGTCCTTGATACAGGGTAACTATACATTTAAGTAATTACATGTACACTACCTGACAAAAGTTTTGTCGTTGATGCCAGTTGAAAGAGCAACAAATAATAACTTGACTTCTAGTTGAACAGCCTGAGGTATCAAGATATTTGTGCTCCCTATTATATTACAAACCACAGGAGAGCGCACATTCTTCAGCAGAATAAAGCTCCTTCTCATACTTTAGCCTCCATCAAAGTTCCTGAAAGCAAAGAAAGTCAAGGTGCTCCAGGATTGGCCAGCCCAGTCACTAAATATGAACATTATTGAGCACGTCTAGGGTAAGATTGAGGAGGCATTGAAGATGAATCCAAAGAATCTTAATGAGCTCTGGGAATTCTGCAAGAATGCTTTCTTTGTCATTCCAGCTGACTTTATTAATGTTATTTGAGTCATTGCAGAGATGTATGGATGCAGTCCTCCAAGCTCATGGGAGTCATACGTATATTATGTATATCAAATATCAAAAGTCAAATGTATATTAATTCTTTTTTCACTGTACCATGACTTTATATTCTATACTGTACTTTATTTCTGTTAAGTGACAAGACTATAGTCTAAGCAAAGTCAGACTTTTCTAATTAAATCATTCAAGATATGATCATATTTTATTTTGGTAAAAAAAAACGTAATCTACAGGCCTTTGCCTTTCATATAAGCCACTTCTGATACCAAATGATCAACTAGAAGTCAAGGTATTATTCACTGTTCTTAAAAGTTGGATAGGCAACAAGACTTTTGTCAGGAAGAGTACCTATTATATGGTACCTAAAGCTAAGGGCTTATAGAGCGATGCAGCCAATCGGCTAACATAAAAGAGAGGAAGCAAAAACAACAATAATAATAATCTGTCTCAGTAATGTTGACCTACTCTGAATGAAGGGCTCTAGAGGGCCCTTCATAGTGTTCACTACACCCACACTGCACTCATGGGACTGACGGCATCACTGCACACTCTCAATAAACAGCCAATACTTCTGACACTGATGGAGTGACTAATGCACAACCCCCCCTTCACACTCACCATCGCGTATCCCATCATTCCTGTGGGCGTCGTGGCAGGGAAGGCCATCACTGAGGGAGCCTAGAGGACACAGTCAGTGTTAGAGCACAAATACCACAGGTAAAACATCACCAGGTTTATTCTTAGCATAAACGAGCCATTCTTCCCAAAACCTTAAGTGAGAATTTCCAACCATGAGATCACAACTGCCCTAGACAGCCCATCTCAGTTTCCACAGGCTGAATAAAGGACACTTTGTGCAAGTGGATGCTTTTTAAGGCGAGACACTGCAGGTGAATAGGGTATACGATCAACTAATATTTATCTCCATACTTCCCCAGTCACATTAAGATTTTCAGTAATTGTATTGTACGTTTTAAAATATGCAAATTAGACACTAATTAAATATGCGCTATTTTCTAGAACAAAAATCTGGACATTGGATTAAAGGCAGGTTCATATTTGTTTAATTTCTAACATATGAGCTAAAGGTTTTTATCTTTTCATCACTATTATTCTGAAAACAATAGAAATTCTTTGTTTTTGTAGAATAAAAAATATAGTGTGAGGCAAATTAAGGCTGAACAAATTCCTCTATAATGTTCAGAATACAGATACGACATGAAGTAGAGATGTATGGCTCAGTGCAGCAGGGGAAAAAAAACTCATTTGAGAAAAAGAACTTACTAGAAAAAATTACTGTAACAGAAAAATCAATGGAACCAGATTGATAATGTGTTAAAAAAAAGAAACATTTGAAAGTGTTTTCTTTGCGTTAGGATGGAAAAAAAGACAGGTGCAAGAAAACAGCCCTTATGCCTGCAGTCTCTTGCTTAAAAAATTTATTCAAAAAAGATGCTACATTTTTTTTTTAGCTTTCTCTGGTAACAGAGAGCCGGTTACATCTGGGAATCATTATAGATGTCTTTTTACACACTCCAACCAGAGCATCAGACCAAGAATACAGGCAAGGAGACAGAGAGGAAGAGAGCGAGTGTGTGTGCGTATGCTCTTTGAAGGCAGAGTGATTAGTTGCAGGTGCAGGGCTCTGGTGGAAGAGAGAAGCTCTTTGTGAAGGAGCTGTGAGATCCTCAATGAGGCCTTCCGTGGCTACAGACACACTTTTCTTTCCACTCATGCACTATTGAAATGGACTCCAAATGGCCTCTAAATTCAGGGGAGGATCAGTGACCAAATGACCAAGAAATTGTAAAATGAACAGACTGAGTTCATTTAGCAAAAAAACGTATAACTTCAAATAGTGAGCAGTTTAAATATCTCATTAAGTTTTGTTGAAATATATAGTTGTGCACCATCTGCATAGCAGTGAAAGCTAATCCCATGCTGTCTAATAATGTTTGCCATGGAGAAAGTATAAACACTACCTTGACAAAAGTCTTGTCCCCATCCAAGTTTTAGAAACAACAAATAATAACCTGACTTCTAATTGATCATTTGGTATCAGAAGTGGCTTAAATGGCAAATGCCTGTAGACTACGCTTATTTTACCAAAATAAAATATGATCATACCTTGAATGTCTTGTCACTTAACAGAAATAATGTAGAGTATAGAATATAAAGTCATGGTGAAAAAGAATGACTATTGATTATGACTCCCATGGGCTTGAAAACTGCATCCATGCATCTCTGCAATGACTCGGATCACTTATTAATAAAGTCCTTTAGAATGAAAGTGTTCTTGCAGGACCTCCAGAGTTCATCAAGATTCTTTGGACTCATCTTCAATGCCTCCTCCATCTATTCCATGCTCAATATTGTTCATGTCTGATGACTGGGCTGGTCAATCCTGGAGCACCCTGACCGTCTTTGCTTTCAGGAACTTTGATGTGGAGGCTGAAGTATGAGAAGGAGCGCTATCCTGCTGAAGAATTTGCCCTCTCCTGTGGTTTGTAATGTAATGGGCAGCACACATCTCTTGATAACTCAGGTTGTTGATGTTGCGATCCACTCTGCAGATCTCTTGCATGCACCCATACTGAATTTAACCCTTGAAAATCCATGATTTTTCCTTCACCAAACTTGACTGATTTCTGTGAGAATCTTGGGTCCATGCGGGTTCCAATTAGTCTTCTCCAGTATTTGTGATGATTGGGATGCTGTTCAACAGATCATTCATCTGAAAAATCTTCTGCCACTTTTCCAAATGATCAACTAGAAGTCAAGTTATAATTGGTTGCTCTTACAACTGGGATTAAGGACAAGACTTTTGTCAGGTAGTGTATAGAAAATAGTTAGGGGACTAAGATTGATCCTTGAGGCACTCCGTATTTCACTGGCAAGATATTTGACAGTTGTCCATGCAGATTTACTAACTAGTCAGGGTCAGATAGGTATGATTTAAACCACCTTAAGGACTATCTCTGTTCTTTGAGCGAATAAATCTAACCTTAAAAGATTAGCCACATAAAAAGATTATTATTTAATGTTTTATTTGTCCAACCTGAATGTAGAGCCATAATGTATCCACTGCATACAAAATAGAAGTTGCATTTCCCCCAGAAATGTTCTGTTATAATGCAATTATGAAATGGAACTCGTAGAAAATGGGTCTTTGTTTTTATTTTCAGTTTTTCCCCTCATAAAAATTCAGTTATTTATTTTCCCCCCTCAATAGTCTTAACAAACATAATGATAACACCCTAATATTTAGACTTAATCTTGTGATTTGGACAGTACTTAATAATGCAATGACGAACTATACGACAGTAGCATGTGTGCAATACAGTTTTACGAGTACATGAGCCTGTTTTTGTATGAGATTTACTAACATACAGATAGATTGTATGGTTTGGTTCATATGCAAACAAGTATCTGCATATGATAAGGTGTGAACCAAAAGGCCTACAGGAACTCAAGAGTTGTGACCCAACCAAACCAGGTGGGTAATCTCCTGGGAGGCCATATCCTGTAGTGTGTCACAAACAGTGCTTTGGGTTAAGTTACTTAAGGACCGATAAGTTAACATCACTGCTGAGGAACTGCACTATTCATTGCCTTTAATAAAGTCGTCTCCCCATAAGAACTTTGGTAAGCTTATTTATGTTATGCATTAGTCATCTAATACATTGGCGAGCCACCCAAAAATGGACAAGCCAAATACAGCAAAGTCTAAAAATTTGGCGAGCCAGCCAGGAGAGACTGAAAATAAGTGTCTCACAGGCAGTACCTTGGGTTAAGTTACTTAAAAACTGACAAGGTAACATCACTGTTAAGGAACTACACTATTCGTTGCCTTCAATAAGGTCTCCTCCCTATAAGAACTTTGGTAAGCTTATTTACTTTATGTATTGGTGTCATCTAATACATTGGCGAGCCACCCAAAAACAGTCAAGCCAAATACAGCAAAGTCTAACAATTTGGCGAGCCAGACAGGAGAGATTGAGAGGAGAAAAATTCATCGACTGCATCAAGAAGTGAACTGTAGAATCTTGAAGAATCTACAGTTTAAGCTTAAGATAAACAGATTTTGTTTGTGGAAGAGTCCTGGAAATACATGTTGCATCTGTGGACAGTTTATTTTAATCAACTGGATCTCATCTCAAAGATCCTAGTTTGGTGAGTAAAACTTATCAGCTCTCAAAGCACCCTTAAAGGAAACATCTTTTATACGTAAACATTAAAAGTAAGCAGGTCAACTGGCCGTAGTGCAGTAATAATAATAATAATAATAATACTTTTAGTAGAAATTCAATTCATAATGTCGGTCATAGTGCTTGAAATAACTCATTTTTGTGACCCAAGATGATTTAATACCACAACAAAAAAGAAAGCACTATTTTTATAAGCATTTCAATCTTCTTTATACTTTGATGCATTTACTTCTGTGCTGCACATGTAGATTTTATGCATGTTGTCGCCATCTAGCTTTTAGGATGAATGTAAATCTTTGGTTTAATAATAAAAACAAAAAGAAAGCTAAATAATACTTCTCCATAAAGATATCACTTTCTTTTTGTTTCTTAGTGAAATCTCAGTAAATTTTGACTGTTTTAAGTCCGTATTGCGCATCCCTACAAGGCATGTTAAGGACCTGAACGCAACAACTGTTGGAGTAACTAAAACACTGGACTTTGCACACTCCACTGGAAACACTAGCCCATTGATTGACGCCAAAATGACTATGGTTGTTTGCTGATGCCGATAAACAAATGAAACGGATGAGAGGAAAGGGCAGAGGAGGAACAGAGCTGCCAGCCATGCCGAGATCACATCTGGTTAGATCAGCTCATGGGTTTCACTCAAACAACAACCGTGACTAAAGCCGAGCCGGTGGTGTTAATAATTTCATGCATTTCAGAGAATGCTTCAACTCAACATTTGGACTTACGTATTGTGGGAAAAGCATGCCATTCTGTTTATTCCCCCGGATGAGAACAGTTAGACAACGCAACAAACACAATTAGAAGGCAAACAACACAATAACATTGCACATTGAAAGCTCACACAAACACAAATGTAAACACAGACAAGACACAATACATTCCAGCTGCTCTGAGTGTGGATTACAGCCCTGTTCCAAACAATAGTGTGCTGCCTATTAAGGTGCCATTCCAAGGAAATAGATGTCAAAATAATGAATCATTCATAAGATGTCTAAGTTTGAACAGAATAAAAGGAGAATGAAATGTATAGTTCAGTGATACAAATGGGCATAGGTTTGGAAAAGTTTTAAACCCGGCAACATTTTCTGCTATATCGTACATTTTTTTTTTACGTTTTTGTTTTTAGGACAACAATATATTCAGCAAAAAAGATATCCAAGATGCCATTTTAATTTGTAATGAAATCTGTGTTTTGGTACCTAATGAAGACAGCAGAAGTCAATGACTACGTTTACATGGACATCAGTAATCAAATTATTTGCTTTAATCCAATTAAGAGAATAATAAGACTAAGGTATTTGTATGAGTTTTGAGTGTTACTTTCATGATCCTGTTTCAAATGTTATAGCACATAATTCGATTAACGTCATCATGTCACCGCGCTATCCGCATGTCCTCCGGAGTTTCATGTAATTTCGGGTGTTTCAGTTTTAATGAACTGCTGGAAGAGTTAGGCTATTTTTTTAAATGGAAGTTCATACCGCATACTGAATGGAAGAAAAAAACCTCCGCGTTTCACGATGCAGGTGTCTGTGGTCTGCACTGACTCGGTAAGTGCAAAGAGTATCAAATAGCCACGCATGTGTGTGTGTTTGTGTGGACTATTCTTTCGAAAAACACGGCAAAAAGTCATACAAGACGGTAATAATTTGCTTAATGTGTTTACATGTCTGTAATGCACTTTAATAATGCGACTAAAATCAGCGTACTCCACACTTCTTAATTAGATTTCTCTTTAGTTCGATTATGACCTTAATCTGATTAAATTAATCAAAAATCGTTGCAATACTCTTAATCAGAGTATTGTCTTAATCGCATTATTGGTGTCCATGTAAACGTAGCCACTGATCCATCTGAATGATTTAGTCTGACATGTATAGCTACTGTTCCAAAATAGTTTAAATGTTTCTCAAAATGAAATGAATTGTGTTCAAAGGATAAAACAGTTTTTTTCTTTTTTTAATGCAGAAGTTTAAAAAGAGCATATTTTGGAGCAGTAATCACAATACCGTAAAACCGTGATATTTTTATCCAAGGTTATCATACTGTCAGAATATTATATCAGCCCATGCCTAGATACAAATAGGGGTACTGTCATTTATTATTACTTAAGAATAATAAATTATATTATCTAATCAGGGCCAGGCAGTAGGTAGTGCTGTCGCAAGAAGGTCGCTGGTTAGAACTTGGCTAAGTTGGCGTCTCAGTGTGGAGTTTGCATGTTGTCCCTGCGTTTGTGTGGGTTTCCTCCGGGTGCTCTGGTTTCCCCCACAGTCCAAAGACATACGGTAAACAGGTGAATTGGGTAGGCTAAATTGGCCAGTGTATGAGTGTCTGTGGATGTTTCCCAAAGATGGGTTGCGGCTGGAAGGGCATCCGCTGCGTAAAAACATGCTTAATAAGTTGGCTGTTCATTCCGCTGTGGCGACCCCAGATTAATAAAGGGACTGAGCTGACAAGAATGAATGAATGAATTATCCAATGAGGTTAATCATTAACCAAAACAAAACGAAGACTATACATTTATTTAATTATTTGCAAAAGGAAACAGTAATACAGCTGAAGTCAGAATTATCAGCCCCCCTGAATTATTAGCTCCCCTGTATATTCTTTCCCTAATATTTGTTTGACAGTAGGGGTGTCAAAATTAATTGTTTCTTCGGTGCACCATGATGCAGATGGGGATATCGATATGTGCTCAGTAATAGATCATGACCAGTTATTACGTACTGACAGCATTTATCTCCTATGCGCGTGTCGCAGTAGAATACTACAGCGAAGGAGGTGAGGGTGAATAATAAAACACTCCTACTACTTAAAAGGTGGATAATTATACACAATTCAACTGCTTGTGAGTTTGTTGGAAAGTCTTTCATTGACACTGAGGAAGGCACAACACACAGCCGCTATTTCACTACTAGGGAGAAATGCTGTAAAACTCCAGCTCTGCCTCTCTCTTTCTCTCTCTCACTTTGGAAATTTGACCCGCTGACGTGTTCATGAGGTAACTTTTCCTCTCCTCTTGGCTGTGAAAGTGATACTTGTGGATCCAGACACAAGCGTGCCTGAGGTGCAAGTTTTCTCCACAGTGTCTTTAATGGATCACCTGTGATAACCGCATATTATGCACATATCCGCAGCTATGCTTCATTCCTAAAGCCAATCGAAGCCCTTTCTGTTGAGCGGGTGAAGACAATGACCAATCATGGGGGTGTAAGACCTCGCTTGACACTCAAAAATCAAGCGGGACAATATTTACATTAGTTTATTTGCTATAAATGCTCATGCTGTGTTCTGTAGGCGTATTTGTTTTTTTTTTTTTTAATACATTCAAAAAGAGTGTTTTCTTGAGCAGGTAAAATTAAAGGTCCAGGTAATATATCTTACTGCTTGTATTAAAGGACAAAATTGTATTACAAATAATATATAAATACTAATATATATATATATATATATATATATATATATATATATATATATATATATATATATATATATATATATATATATATATATATATATATGTATATATAGAAAAAAATTGTGTTGTAAAAAAAAACTAATTATGTAGATCTTTTTCAAGATACTAGTGTTTGAAGTGACATTTAAAGGCTTTACTAGGTTAATTAGGCAAGTTAAGAGTAATGAGGCAAGTCATCATCAGTTTGTTCTGTAGACAATCAAAAATATTTAGTTTAAGGGGGCTAATAATATTGAATGTTATATTAAAGTATATAAAATTAAATAATATAAAAATGGTTTTAAAAGAAAGTAAAACTGCTTTTATTCTAGCCAAAATAAATCAAATAATATTTTAACTAGAAGAAAAACTATAGAAAATGCTGTAAAAGAAATTCCTTTCTCTGTTAACCCCTGTGCACTGTTCAAGTTTACTACCCTTTTGTTATGTTGGAGATGAAAACATCCACTGAATTAAACCGCTGTAAAAATGCATAAAACATTCTTTAATCTTTTTTTTTTTTTTTTGCATAAATCTGTTAAACTAAGCTTTTTGCACATGCCAATCTAAATGATTAATGCTGCCAACTGGTTATCAACAGTAAAAATGAAAAATTTTACCTCTTCCCAACAGGGAAAACCACCAACAATAAAAAATGCATAATTATATGATGTCATGGCTTTGCACCCAAAAAATGGTTGTAGTGGAAGGCAAAAACAGCTACGAACAATAAATAAGGAAGGAAAAAATGAAGATCAATCAAAAACAATGCATCAAAGCCAATGTTGTTTCACATGTCCAAGACAAGTAAAAGGTAAACAAAAAAATCCAGTCCACAGTTACTTTTTATATTGAAAATATGTCATTCTGTGTGTTTTTTTGCACCAAATCAGTGACATCATTTATAAATTTGCCAGTTAAAGAGGTCAAATCCTGTAATTATCTAAGCAATTTATAGTTTTGATCAGGACTGGGGTTGATTAACAGATTTTTGCAGAAATTATAAAAATTCTTTTTTTTTTTTTACAGCAGTTTAATTTAGTGGATAATTTCATCCTGATCATAACAAAAGAGTAGTCAATTTGCCCGGAGTGTTTCGTTGAGTTTTTAAAAAATAACTTTAAAGCATTTTCCCAAAATATGTGTCAAAATAAAATCTGTCATCAAAAATCATTATGTTAACTGAAATAGAGAAAAAGTTCTGGCCAAATTAAAACTCAAAATCACCCCAGAGTGGACAAAAACATTCCCAACAGCACATAAGGGTGAAACATCATTTGGGATACATTTGAAAAATAAATCCACAGGGCTAAATCTGATATATAAAACTAAAAGTTATAGAGAAACCTATTTGTAAGAGAAATGTAACTGTAAATACACATATAATTTGATATAAAATCAAGTATATAGATTTAAACTAAGAAACTGCTTAAGTTTGGTGTAATGTGCGTATATTGATCGCCACACTTGCTGAGATGTTCACAGTTAATGATAAATGCAAATAAAGAAGGAAATGAATCAATGAGTCAAAGTTCCAATGACATGATAGTAAAGCAGATTAGGCAAATGTTTGCAGAGATAGGCGAGTAAAACAGTAAACTTCCTTCTCCACTGACAATCAGACACCTACAAAACAAATGTTTGCATTTTTCTATCCATTCTGTTTCTGTACGTCATCCAACCACAGAATGATATTTTGGCCAGATGGAGGTTTTTGTTTTACTAATGTACAGCCTTTTAGTTTTAAGAAATATTTGCCTATGTAGACAGCATATAGTGAGGCAGTTCACTTATGTCTGGAACAGAGCCTGTGTTTGAGAATCTCCAGCTTTTGTTCATCTACTGGTTTATGACAGCTGTTTCTAGCACAAGTTTGGTTTGTCCGAGTCAGTGAAAGCACACATTGTTGGCCTCACCATGGTGGCAGGATTCCATGTAGTGGTAGGAGCCGTCTTTGGTTGCCAGTTCATTCCTCCTGTTAACTTCTTCTCTCCAGGTTGACTCCAGTGGATGTCACTAAGAAAGAATAGAAGAAACAATAATAAGTTAGCAAGATTTATAAAACCAAAGAATTAGGATTGAGATGAGCAGCAAATATTCATACTTTTTTGCTGTTCCGTTTCCAATACCGAGATCTGGAAGAAGCAGAAATCTGGTTAATATTACGCCTTCCATGGTGCAATGCTATTTTTATGTTTACAAGCTCCTGAATCAATAAACAACACTAAAATCACTGTTCCTAATGATTAATTATAGAATTCAGAGTACAATGTGTGTGGAGACTGATAAGATATATTTTTTTTAATTCCATGTTTGCTGGTCTTTTTTTTTTTTTTTTTTGTAAGGCCACAAAATTTAAAATCATAAATCCGAAAGTACAACGCCTGGAAATGCCAAAAACTGCACTTTTTTGGCAGAGGAAGTTAAAATTCCTGTTGGGTTTGAGATTTCGCTTTCTTCTTTCTTGTGGGTATTGGCATGTTTGATGTGTGTGCCAATTTTCGTACGCGTGTGTGAAACTGAGCTTGGGGGCCACTCCGTCAAATGTGCATAGGTGGCACTGTCGAGCAATTTTGCCACACCCACTTCTGAAACCTAAACAAAATTTTGCCACTTCTGGCACAAAGTTCGTGAGTTTGAGCATGTTTAGACCCTCAAAAATTAACTCTAGATAATACTACTACTACTACTACTAATAATAATAATAATAATAACTGAAAGCAAATCCAATAGGGCCTATGCACTGTTCTTGATCCCTCGATATTAACAAAAATCTTCTGTAAATTTTAAACAAAATTTCTTCTTAGTAATACTAAAATAATGCTGTTGACATATAGTGTATACTTCGGTTTAAGTCTAATTAATCATGAACCTAAGTAATAAAGTTAATCTATTGTTTGCTGTAACAAAAACATGACACTCACTGCCCACTAGGTTGGCCAGTGAAGAATCCAAGTCATCGGAGACCAGTTTGCCAGAGAGTTGGGCACTGGGCGTCAGACCCTGGTTAGGAGAGGTCACTGTGGGTTTCAGGATGCCACCTAAAATATCATCTTAAACAAACACAGGACAGGGAATGGGAGAGGGACAAAAGACGAGGACAACAAATACAAACACAAAAAGCGCAGTTAGGTCTGGGTGGAGCGCGAGGTGGCCGCCCTCACAGCAAATGTTGCAGGACTGAAAGTGAAAGAATGTGGGTAAAACCTTGTGAAGTCAACTCACCCAGACATGCAGTGCCATGCAAAGCCAGCGGGCCAAACAGATCAAACCACACAGTGAGAGGAGAGAAAGAGGACAGAATGAGGAACATCTTAAAACATCAGCTTGTGATCTTATCTTACATGAGGATCACTTTTTTAAAGAGCTGGTTCACCTCAAAATGAACAATCTGTCATCTATTACTCACTCTCATGTTGTTCTAAACCAATTTTGGCTTGGGTCATCATTCAGTGTAATTATTATTCACATAAAAATGGTCAAAATGTTTGAAAAAAACATCAAGTGGTTTAATAAAAAAACAAACAAACAAAAAAAAAAACATTTTCTTTATATGACAAAGAGATTTGGAAAAAACAAACCTCAAGGGTTCTTTCAAAAGATTAAACATGCCGTGTAAAATGCAACAATAAACCGTTGGTTTTAATGATTCACGCAAATATGTTTGATTTAAGATGACTAAATTTACACTGTAAGCATTTTTTAATGATTAATGTTTGTGTGTGAAAGAGTGGTAAAAAGCGAGCACTTTTTTGCAGTAGACTTAAATGAAATCACTTCAATTCATTTTTTAAGGAGGGACTGAACATCTTTGAAGATAAAAACATTTCTTTTGGGTTTATAATGGCATTTAAGATAAGTAAAGTCAATTCCATTGATGTATCATATTTACATGTAAAACAGTACGTTATTTTTTTCTCAATTGGCAATATGTCCTCCAGTAAAAACGTATCTTAGCTCAAATAAGACAAGATACAAGTAAATAAATGCTACATTTGTTGTTTAATAAGAAGCTTGTTAGATTAGGTCACTGCAGTGCAAGTATTAAAGTCTGCATGAACAAGAAGTTGCAGTTGTTTGTTTCAGTATGATGACGCAATTGTAATTGAAATGGAATATTGAGTAAGGGGTGGGGTTTTATTTTTGTGCTCCTCCCATCTTTCACTCTAAGCATTGGAGCAAAGATATAAAGGTTGGTGGCAAATAGGGTTGGGTATTGTTTGGGGTTATTTCAATACTAAAATTGAATGCTAAATTGATACTTTTAAAACAGTACCGGTGCCTGAACCGATACTTTTGAGCCACAAAATTATGTTGGATGACTCTAGAATAATCTTAATCATTCATTCATTAATTTTCTTGTCGGCTCAGTCCCTTTATTAACCCAGGGTCGCCACAGTGGAATGAACTACCAACTTATTCAGTAAGTTTTTACGCAGCGGATGCCCTTCCAGCCGCAACCCATCTCTGGGAAACATCCACACACATTCACTCACACACTACAGACAATTTAGCCTACCCAATTTACCTGTACCGCATGTCTTTGGACTGTGGGGGAAAGCGGAGCACCCGGAGGAAACCCACGCAAAGGCAGGGAGAACATGCAAACTCCACACAGAAACACCAACTGAGACGAGGTTTGAACCAGCGACCCAGCGACCTTCTTGCTGTGAGGCAACAGCACTACCTACTGCGCCACTGCCTTGCCCAGAATAATCTTATATTTAACAAAAAACACAATTGTTATAATTTTAATTGAATAATATAATTAAAGTTTAAAGTAAACACCAATTCATATTTTATCTATTTGAACTGCATTCATATATTTCTTTTGATCATTTGTTTTGTTAGCCTGAATTTAGGTTTTGCATTATTGCATTTATACTGCTAAGCTGTGGGAAGGCTGTCATTAAAATAGTAGTAGTACATAGATCGATTAACGTCATTGCTTCACCAGGCTATCTACGTCTCCTCCGGAGTTTCATGTATAATTTCGGGTGTTTCAATTTTAACTTTAACTACAGTTCGACAGTTTCACTTTCATTCAGCAACATATTATTCATGTCCTGTGACAAACTGAGGTATTGGATGAGAATATGAAGTAAGGACTGGTGGAAGAGTGTTGTTTTAATGGAATTTGATAACGCACGCCGAATGGAAAGAAAAAATCTCAGCATTTCATGAGATTCTGTGTGTCTGTGGTACTTTAAGGTCATAAAAAATATATATAAGTAAATAAATAAAAATATTGCTGTTTACATGGTAGACCCTTAACCAAAGTATTGTCTTAATCATATTAAAATTAGAGTATCGGTCTCCATATAAACGTAGTCAGTGTAAGTGCCAGATGATGTCGCAAGCTGTCAAAGACATGGCCTCAAATATTGGCTCGGGGTTTCTGTACCCAACTCTAGTGGCTAAGCATATTTTGCCCAAGCTGTCAAACTGACATATTCAGAGAAGGACTACCAATCCAGAGTGGAAATTATTGGCTAGATTTGAATAAAGATTTAAATCGTATGTATTAATTGTTCACTCGAAGACTAACAATGTGCAAAAAAAAAAACAATGTAATTTTTTTTTCATTTCATGCAGACTCCATGATTTGTTGGTAAAGCAAGCTCCAATCATGCAATAGTGAGAACATTGACCAAAAGAGATTAAGTGTTTAAACACTGTGATCCCTTTTCTTACAACAATACCACAGCAAACGTCTATGAAAATGCATAAAATAACCCTTTTACATATAAAATACATTTTCACATGCTAGTTCGGCTCTGTTAGCTAAAGTGTATGCCATGATTGACTTCATTAAGGCCCTGAAAACACACTTTCCTTCAGCACTGAGATGGATGTGAAGCATCATGTGAAAAGCAGTGAGTGGAATTAGCAACTAGGTTAACTTGTTTCTTACCAGCAGAGTCTGTGCTGTTGGCGACCGACTTATTGCCGAACACGGAGTCAAAGTCGACATTAAGGCCTGTGGAACTGGGAGGCTGAGCGGCGGGAGGTGCAGAGAACCCTGTGTTAGAGAAAACAAGGTCAGAGCCAGAAAAAAAAAAAAACACACACCACAGGCTGCTCCACCTACACACGGCTGAGTGCTGGAGAGATCAACACGTTTCAAAGGGTGCTTAATGTTTTCCTCTGGTTCATGTAATTGTCATTAATTCAAATGGATCAACTCTGTTGTAGTTGACAGGCTTCCAGAAACGTCAGCTGTTTGACTGGGTCGCCCACAGCAACTTACTAGTAAAGGTGTTTCCACATGTTCAAAAGCAAACTATAATCATGTCAGCTCTTTCTCTTTTTCAATATACCTGTAAAGGTTTCACCTAGCATCATCCTCCTAGAGCTTAAAAATTTGTATGAAGATGGGATTTTACATTCTTTTGAGCTTTTATGTACAAAAAAATATATGGTTATGGTTACTAAAAAACATTTCTTTAAATGCACTTAATTGAAGAGTTACATGTCATCAAAAAACACAGATTAGTTGTATAACCTCATTATCACAATTAATTATCCAAACTTTTGAAGGAAGAGGTCGTGTTTCTGTGTTTTACAATTTTATGGTCACACATAGTACTGAATTATTGGATAAATTAAATGAAAACAGATTTGCAAGAAGACAGATGAAACAGACTGGAATTATTTTTGCTTGAAAGCTCAAACACGAACATTAAACACCCGGTTTAAACTACTTTCATACAAATGGTTAATGAAAAAGCCCTGTTAAGCTTTATCATATGTCTGCTAATGTTCCAGGTGTGTGCTCTAAATATTTGGATGATAAAGGTACATAAATCACTGGCTTTGGCAATGTGCTAAAATAAAAAGTTTTGGAAAGAGATAACTGAATGTCAGACATGTTTAATAATAAAATCCTTTAAATGCCCTGTATTCTTGGTTTGTATCTTTTAGAACTTAAAATTGGAAAGACATTTTGGATTTTGCTTTTCTTCAAGCTAGAAGGTCTATTGCATTTTACTAGAAACATATGGATGCTCCATTCATAGTATTGTGGAAAAAACAGATATTGAACTGTACTGGACTGAAGAGACCTTGTATCAAAGGTGAACAGAAGGAACCATATATAAATCTTATGCAAAGTGTGTTTGTAAGTATTATTAATTTTATATACTTATTATTAAGTCATTTGAATATGTATGTGTGTGTGTGTATGTTTGTGTACAGTGCATCTGGAAAGTATTCATAGCGCTTCACTTTTTCCACAGATTTTTGATTTACAGCCTTATTCCAAAATGGATTAAATTAATTGATTTCCTCAAAATTCTACACACAATACCACGTAATGACAATGTGAAAAAAGACTTGTTGAAATTGTTGCAAATTTATTAAAAATAAAAAGCCTGAGAAATCACACATACAGAAGTACTCACAGCCTTTGAAGTGATGCTCTAAATTGAGCTCAGGTCTGTTTCCACTGATCATTCTTGAGATGTTTCAGCGGCTTAATTGGAGTTTACCTGTGGTAAATTCAGTTGATTGGACATGATTTGAAAAGGCATACACCTGTCTTTATAAGGTCCCAGGGTTGACTGTACATGTTAAAGCACAAACCAAGCATGAAGACAAAGGAATTGCCTGTAGACCTCAGAGGCAGGATTGGCTGTACACCATTGCTTCCCATCCAACCTGATAGAGATGAGAGGTACTGCAAAGAGCAATGGGCAAAAATTCCCAAAGACAGATGTGCCAAGTTTGTGGCATCATTTTCAAAAAGACTTAAGGCTGTAATTGCTGCCAAAGGTGCATCAACAGAGTATTGAGCAAAGGCTGTGAAAACTTATGTACATGTGATTTTTTCAGGCTTTTTTTATTTTTAATAAATTTGCAACAATTTCAAAAATTCATTATGAGGTATTGTGTGTAATATTGAGGAAATTAATTATATTAATCCATTTTGGAATAAGACTGTAACAGAAAATGCGAAAAAAAAATAAAATAAAAAAATATTATTTTTTAAACATAGCTACTTTCATAAGAAACAGTATACTGTATACTGTTAACAGTATACTGAAACATCTGTTTATATTTTCCAAAACCGCAATCTGTATATGAGAGAAATAAACAAGTTATGGATGTGATCAAAATAAATAAATAAATAAATAATAATGCGAGTTTACAGTAGACAACATACTTTGTAGACTACATCATTTGTATCTCCACACACCCAATTTGTTTTCATGGCAAGGTTAATTTTGCATGGAATTGCTCAAATAGAGATTAATTGCAATGGTCTACATTTTCCTATAATTGATTAGGCTAAATTAAAGTAACCTCATGTCTGCTGAATACCTGAATAGACATCAAACCTGTTGCTGCCAGCTCAACAAAAGCAAAGAAAGTACAAGATAGCGGAAGAACACAGAAAGAAAGAGGGATGGGCCGAAGGAACGCCACTCACCTCCAAATAGTCCAGCTACAGTGGAGGGCTCAGAGTGGAAGAGAGGAGTGTTAGGATACGCGGTCGGAGAGCAGAACGAGTCTGACAGACCCAGAAGGAAAGCACAGGACAGACAGAAATGCAGAAGTTAGTGAAGTGAGACAGGAATATACAGTTAAAACAAAATACAACAATGGCAGAATGTTTTAGGCCTGACAACTAAAGTCAAGAAAGTGGAATTAAAACAACACAGGTAAAGGAATAAAGTGGGGTAAACAGCACTCAGAAGGGAACCACGGGGAAAGGCCACTATGTTTCCTGAAGTGAGAAAACATACATCACGCTGTACCTGAGAGGAAGCAGCCCATCCCAACAGGGGGCTCGACAGGGGACGCAACAGAAGAGCTTGAATCAATAAAGGGATTGTAATTATCTGGAGAACCAAGAAATGAAATTGGCATCTGGGGTTTATTTTTTAAAATCTTAATGCTCTAAAGATGTGGGAAATGCAAAAAGAGGGAAATGGAAAACCATGGCAGGTCATAAGCAGAAGACAGCAACGTTTTGAGTGAGGTGGTCTAGAGATCATAGAAGAAAGCCTCAGAAAAATCATGTGTAAAAAAAAAAAAAAAGTAATCGGGACAGTTACAGTAATACAGTACAGATGCTCAACCTGATGTTGTTGCTGTATTTATTTATTTATTTTTTACCCAAAAACAAGAAAATGTGTTAAAGGCTGCATTTACACTGGTTCAAGTGACCCAAATAAGATTTTTTTCTCTCGTGTCTGCAGTGTAAAGCTGCCTTTTCACTGCATACAACATTTGGAGACGACTGTCAGAATATGGCCGCTTGTGGCAGTCGCACAGATTTTTCAGTTTTGTCATGCACCATAGAGGAGAGAAGCAGTGTCCGAATGAATACTAGAAACTCATAAACCGGTAAAAATTTTGGAGAGAATGTGGAGACGACTTAAAAAAAAAATTATTACTCATTTTTGAATATATATATATATATATATATATATATATATATATATATATATATATATATATATATATATATATATATATATATATATATATATATTGTTTTTTTTAATATTGACTTTTTTCAAAAATAATAGGAAAAAATAGTATTTCTAATCTCGCGCGCACAGATCTGCTTAGACAACACTGGAATATATCACATCCGGTAAGCCGATCACATACGGTCTAGTCACAGAAGTTCAAATATTTAAACGTATCCGATGATCGGAACTTCACGCAGCTCCCGTACTCTCCATTGGATATTCACCCATCAATGCAAGTCGCGCGACATTAAAAACCTTATTGAATGACGTAAACTCTGACGCTTTTGTTTCGAAACAGACATCAGCAGAGTCCCAAACATTTCACATACTAGAACAAAAAAATCCTTTATATTGTCATATACCACAAGTAAAGTTATTCAATAATGTTAGCGAGTGAGCGAGAGAAAGAAACAGAAAGCACATCATCCGTCATGTAAACAATTTACAAAACTGTTGCATACATTATGTGCATAAATCACGCCATTGACATCACATTAATATACCTACTGGTTTTTAAAAAAAAAAGCCTAGATTAAAAGAAGATGGCCGAATAAGAACTTTTGTCATAAACGATAGTATAACATGTAAAGAAGAATTTAAAAAAATAAAACCCCTGCTGTGAACAGATTAAATAGAGGAATGGAGAAAAGGGGTCTTGTCATTGTGTGAAGTGTAAATGCAGACAATCGGATACGGGTAACTTTTAAAAGATGTAAGAAAAAAAAAATCGTAGAATGCAAAAAAGTAATAAAAAATAAATAAATAAATAAGAGTATAGTCATAAAATCTGAATTGACCATGGAGAAGGCGATGCAGTGGCGCAGTAGGTAGTGCTGTCGCCTCACAGCAAAAAGGATGCAGAGTCGGTGGTTCGATCCTCGGCTCAGTTGGAATTTCTGTGTGGAGTTTGCATGTTCTCCCTACGTTCACGTGGGTTACCTCCGGGTGCTCCGGTTTCGCCCACAGTCCAAAGACATGCGGAACAGGTGAATTGGGTAGGCTAAATTGTCCGTCGTGTATGAGTGTGTGTGGATGTTTCCCAGAGATGGGTTGCGGCTGGAATAGATGGGTTGCGTAAAAATGTGCTGGATAAGTTGGCGGTTCATTCCGCTGTGGCGACCCCGGATTAATAAAGGGACGAAGAAGACAAGAAAATGAATGAATGAATAAATGACCATGGAAATCTACAGAGTAAATGCAGCCAAAAACATAATAATAATCTTGTTTGCAATTATTAATGTATTAATAATGTAAGTTGCAATTAGTAATGGCATTGAATAGTAACTGATACCACATTTTTGGACCAAAATCTGTTTTTATTTTGTTTGTTTTATTATAGTTATTTAGTTTTTAAAATTAAATTTGTACTTTTACTTTCCCTTGAGCACATTTTAGTGCTGTATTGGTACTTTTACTCCACTACTTTCCTTCAAATTTTAGTCACCAAATTATTTTTTCATTTACAGGGATTAGAAAAAAAAAATCCAATGATTCCTGTCCAATCAAATCGCACCGCATCATACTGAACTACCTAAAGACTTGCAGCAAACTGTTTGGAAGCATTAAAAGTGTCCAAGAAGATACTTTACACACAATGACTCAGAGACTGTTTATACTGAATGTGACTAATGAGATGTTCACTGTATGATTATTGAAATGGCCTTAAACAATAACTAAATGCACTACAGAATGTTGTTCACACACACACACACACACACAAATTACATGTAAACGGATCAACCTTTCCCACGGTAATACTCCCTACTCTTGAGTAGTGGTTACTTTTTAAGTAATATTTACAACAGATACTTTAACTCTACTTGTACTACATTTTGGGCAAGTAATGGTACTTTCAGTTATATCTCCAGATCAGTGGTTAAAAGACAATTAGAATGACATGAGATGAAACTGATAACTTGTTGCAACAAACACAACAACTAAATTTACCTCAGCGAAGACGCAACATTTTTAATCATCTTGATTTCTCACAACTTGCACACCTTTTCTGGTAGTTTCAGAAGTCTATACTTCTATAGTCTTGAACTGCCTGACTGACAGTCAAGGTCAGAATTTGTATTAAATAATGGATTGCACTTAAAAATGTTTTATTTAATTATTTATTTATTTATTTATTTATTTTTAGCAAACCCTATTTTATACTCCTACAACACAAACTATATGGCATGTTTCACATAATTCGTACATTTTTATTTCGTCACTATTCACTGCCAGTATATAGAGATAAAAGGGAGCAGATTTTGTCCTCAAGAGGGCATACAGCATCAGAACAACACCAGGGTCATTAATTATTATTAATATTAATTTTGGGGTGATCTAACCCATTAAGTGTGGGCAAAAAGGACCACCAAACTCAAACAGGGGGTATGTATATAAGGTGTTTATATCTTAAGGAGTACATTTGATTGAAGCCTTTCTCACTCTTGATCACACTCATGTATTCCTATTAGCATTACTAGATCACAGAGGACATGTCACCATATTACAGCTGCACAAACACAAACACGCAACAAAGCATCTGTCCATCACTCTCTCTCTAATGTGTTATTGTTCTCTCTGAGAACATAATAAATAAAGTCCCAAGCCGAGAACAAACTCACAGAAGCGAGACCTCCTTTATTGTTTTTATACGATTACAGTTAAGCACACAAACACTGGCTGAGCTTCAAAACCTAGGTTGTGTTCAAAATACTACCATACTTCTCTTACCATTTAATATGTAAATTATACATATAAATTATACTTATTTATATTACCTGCATTTGCTAAAAACAACAAGAAATAGCAATGACAAAATTGTTTTAATCTAAACACAAATTAGATTGTTCTTGACGAACTAAAGTTAGATAACTTAGTTTATTATTGTTTGCTTGCTTACGTTTGAATTCATTAACATTACTGTTTTTTTTTTTGCATAAATTTATTTTTTATTCTCTTTCTTTGTATTAATAGTCCGAACAACAGAAGTTAAACAAATACTTGCAGTAATGATAAAGAAGTTATAATCAAACAATTGATGAACAAACTACAGATGAAACTTACTTCTTGTTCCTGCGGACTAACTGAATTTATTAGCTTTGAGTTTCAGCAAAATGTAAACAGTTTTTTAATAAATAGTTATTTTTTCCATGTCAAATAATAATATTGTCATTTAGAGCATTTTTAAATGACATTTATCTATTTTTATTTAGTGTAGCAGCATAGCAATATTTCAGCTGAAAAGGCGACACATTTCTTACTGCCAATCATTTCACTTTTTTGTACAATATAGAAAGTAACAAAGCTCCATGTAAAAAGTTAAATAAAGTAAACAATAACAATAAAAATAAGAAAGTAAACAATATTAATAACAACATTTACACAATTCGAGGACTGTGTGGATTAATACTGAATGGTTAAGGATAGAGTAATATCCTGTTGATTAACTGCATTCCTGAATTGGCCTCACACATACTGTATACTCTGAGAAAAAACGCCCAAGAAGTAGTCAGAGCACAGTCTCATGCTGAACGCGGTCAACCAATTACAACAGATTGGGTCATCAGACCAAACAGCGCAGATTAGCATCACGCTAAAAAGAGGTTTGGGAACAAATGAATCGCTGCACAAATCAAATAAAGTATAAAAAGTATAAAATAAAAACTAGCTAAGCTAACTATTAACTGCTAATTCTGATAAACTGCAAATTTTTAAGTGGTCTATATCTATTTTAACAGATATTATTTAATCTATAATGACAGTATCTTTTAGACTAGTATCTAATTTTAAGTTGCCAACATTGACGGCATATTCGTCCATCACAGATACATCCGAACTTCATCATCTAAGTAGGCAGCTCACAAGGTTTTAACAACACAGCAGGTTTAACCTTGACACACACAAACACACATTAGATACGGGAAGGGTTAACTGGAGTTACATTGGTTTTGCCCAGCGGGTTTTTGTACACTTGATGCGGTGGAGCATTCAGGACAAAAATGAGAGTGTAGTGAAACCAGACCGGCACGCAGCAGGCGAAAGAAAGCAAACAGTGCACTACGTGAGAGAAAAGAACAGCCGTTTACCACCGAACATTTCATGACTGGGCGTCCTAGAGGAAAAACTAACAGCATCTGAAGACACAACAGGCAGATGAACAGGATCAACAACTGGCTTTGTAAGGAAAGGATTTAAGTTTGGAATGGAGTCGTCGGCGGCCTCTGTAGACGTGAAAGGATCTACACGGCCAAAGACAAGACAGAAACAGAAGATAATAGAAAGAGGGTTAGAGAAAGAGAAACAGACAGCATGCAAATGGAGACCAACAGACAAATGAGCTGGAGTTTGGTCTAGACTTTTAGGATGTAAATAAGTCCTGGACTGAATGAGACGCCTGACATGGCATGTAATGTATATGCAAGATAAGTCATTCGTAGGCCCACATGGATTCTATGCACACAGAAATCAGCAGATTTTTTGTTCATTATTGAGTTAATTTATTGACTTGTGTAAATGTGTGTAAATTTATATTTATTCAGTTTTTAATTTAATTTCAGTAACATTACTGACTAATATGAAAATGTTCATATGATTTGTTTACAAGGCCATTTTTAAAGTAATATTTTCTGCCTTTTACTAGATGTATTTTATAAGAGACTTGCTTTGTTTATAGGATTTGCATTGTAAACATTTAATACAAGTTCATAAAGTATTATTTTTTATTTCATATATTACGTTTTTAGTTACAATACTCTCAAAATCATTACGCATAAATGCAGAATTTAAAAAAAAAAAATTCTGCACAGAAACACCAAAAAATGTCCGCAGATTCTGTCTGGCCCTAGTCATGCGTCAAAGCTAAATGAATACAAATGATTATTATTTGGCTGTAATAATCATTATAAAATTGATTGTTGTTTCTAAATCACAAACAAAATGACAATGGCAAAGGTTCAGTAAAATGATTTGAAGCTTTAAAACTACAAATAAAAAAAATTACAAAAAATAAAAATTTAAAACAAACATTCAAATAAAGTGAGTAAATATAACTACAGTGTTCAGCATATACAAGTACACCCGCAACAAATTTAAATATTACATCAGTTTATCCATACTGAAGCCAAATCTGGAGCTTATCTAACAAATTAACTGACAATAATGGTTAAAAAATTTGTAGGCCAAATATATATATTATTTATATAAATATATATATATTATTTATATATATATATATATTTATATATTTATATATATATATATATATATATATATATATATATATATATATATATATATATATATATATATATATATATATATATATATATATATATATAAACATAATATATATATAAACATAAAATTGTTTAAATGTTGTAGTTTGTAAATTTTTGTAATATTTGCAAATGAATTTAATTGTATTATCTTTCCATTTCTAAAGATGTTCTATGACTAAATTATTTTTTTTATAAATGTATCTGTTCAATAAATCTGTTTTGTTCAAATTCACCAATATATATTACCCATATTCACTGAGAAATGGATGTTTTTTTTGTTTTGTTTTTTTTTCAAAATTTGAAAATGGGGTGTACTTATATGCTGAGCACTGTATAAACTTTACTGAATACAGCTTTGCAAAAATAACACAATATTTTATAAATAACAAACAAAAAACAAAAAATTTATATTTTATAAAAAAAAATTATATTTATATATATATATATATATAAGGGCTGCAACTAATGACTATTCTGATAATCAATTAGTTTGATACATATATATATATATATATAGAGAGAGAGAGAGAGAGAGAGAGAGAGAGAGAGAGAGAGAGAGAGAGAGAGAGAGAGAGAGAGAGAGAGAGACTTGTACAGTTTTTATCCAAGTTATACTATATAAATATACACATTTAAATAAAAAGTATGTCATATATGATTAATATATAATATATTAAGGCTTTTAAGTCAAACTAAAATTAAAAATAACAATACATAAATAGTAATGAGACATGAATAATATAATGTAATACAACTTTAAAAGGGAATTTCCAAAATATTTACAGTGGGCATGTTCTTTAAAAAAAATCTTAAAGTCTTAAAATCTTGCCCAAAATCAACGTAAAACTCCAATGTGAAACTTTCTTCTTTAAAAACAAACAAAAAAAAGTGTTAACATAATATCATATTGCATATCTTTCAAAGTCATTGACAATAGTTTTATAAAATTTTAAAATTTACTTTACATTTTCTTTGATTACATGAAGTACCGTCCATAACACGTTCAACCCCAGAATGAACTTATAATGGTGCAAAACAATAAACACTTACAGAATAATAGTTTTAGGTGAGCTGCTCCTTTAAAAGCAATCGGTCATGATGACAGCACTCTGGTGTTGAAAAGCATAAAGCCTACTTCAAACTCTAAAGAGCTTCATCCCACATCAAGATAAGCCATCTATAAAGGTTGCTGAGTGTGTTTTACGCAGTATAATTTAATAAACACCCATAACTGCAAGTCTTTTCTGGTTCCGCCTGGGTAATATCGGAAACCAATATTATATCAGTTCCACACTCCATCAGCACTTTCAGTTAAAAACAACCCCCGTTAATCAGATTCACAGATTAGATGTGATTTAGACAAAGATGCACACAACAGGTTTCATTTCAAGATCTAGTGAAGTTTCTTGTAATGCGATGTGTTGATGCAATTTCAAATGAAATGAAAAGTGGGTGGGGCATATCAAGTAGCTCCTCCCCTTAAAAACAGCCAATGGCGTTTGGTTTATATCACAGCTCCGCCAGCTTTGAGCATCTAAAATACAGCCTTTCAGAAAATATTACTGAAACATTTTATGATCTGCATTGACTTGCATATATGATCTGCTACTGTGTCTCTTTGCCAGAGTAGACTGAGTGTGTGTAGTTTATGTGAAATCAGATTCATTTAATTCAATGGACAGTAAACTTGCATTGTCCGAATTGTTTATCTTAAATATAGCACACATTTTTGAATGTCCTAGTGGTTTGTGTGCTTACTGTACGAGTGTGCACAATGCAGTTTTTCCCTCAGAGCTTGCCGTAGATACAGCATGTGATTGTACATGAATGCGACACACTTCAACATCTCAGCTTTATTGGGGTCCTCGCACATTGTTAAGAGTAATAATCATAAAGAAGTGAATATCATTTTAGGGCTCAGTTAAAGGGATAGTTCATCCAAAAATTAAATTTGTCATCATTTACTCATTCTACACTTGTTACAAACCAGTTTGTGTTTCTATCTTCTGTTAAACTCCAAGGAAGATATTTTGAGGAATGTTAGGAATAAAACAGGCCGAAAAATCTTCATATAAAAATGTGTCCATCCTAGCATGGATGTCAATGGCTGCATTTTTACAACAAACTTCAGAATATTTTGTGTATATTTTTGGGGTGAATTACACATTTAAATATGAATGAGCGAGACGCATCTTGTCGGGGGGATGAGACTTCAGATACCACAGAGCATTTGATAGGTCAGATGATGAGAAGTATTAGGGGCCGATCACACCAAACACACTTTTACGTTCCAAAAACCCAATGAGGTGCACCAAACTGCCTTTTTTATTTACAAGAAAAAAAGAAGCTTGGTGTGCTTTTTATGTCGTAAGGCAATGATGGAATCAGCTGTGTACTGTGCGCGAATGTTACTGTTGATATTGGTAAAATTTTCATATTTAATAATATTGTGATATTTAAAATTTGTGAGTCATACAGCACCGGATAACTCAAAACAGCAACCACAAGACACTCCTCCATCTATCTTCAAAGTCTCCATAGTAGTCCTGACAAAACAAACACTGCAGTCACCTCAATGGAAAACCCGCCGCTGCTTTCATTTGATTAAAAAATGAAACAAGCGGGTGATGAAACATATTTTTTTCTGTATAGAGTTGTCTTTGCCTGTGCAAGGCACAGCAAGCGGTTAAAATGCAAGGTGTGCAGGGCACATAAGCAGTTCATGACCATTAGTAAACTATTCAAACAAGGTGACTCTCAACGCAAAAAGTGTGCTCAGTGTGATGGGCCCGTTAAAAGCTGAAGTACGTGGTGATGTCAAAAAAAATCCACAATTGATGGAAGTCAGAAACTAAGATTGAATGCTCATATACATTAAACTGAAGCTCTGCACAGTTTAGTTACAATGCGGCTTTAACATATTTAAGGCTGATTTATACTTCTGCGTCAAGCGCACGCATATGCTACGGCACGGCCTACACATGGACAGACAGCCCTCTCTGTGGCAGAAGCACACCTCTCAAAAAATGTAACTACAAGTCGCAACGATGCATAGCGCAAGCTCTGTGACTGGTCGGCTTGATAGCGCTGACGAGTTTGAGCAGGACCGAGAGCCGCACAAGCCTGATGGCGTGTTTGTTTACAAGTGTGGAGTCCCGTGAAGGAGCTCCAGATAGAAAATTTTTGTTTTTAACCACTTGTACATTAAGGAAGCATTCAGAAAAAAAACAAAACACCAGCGAAAAACTCAACACAGAGGAACATAAACACTTATTGCAGAGCAACAGAAACAGGGTGCAAAAGTATGAATGCACAGCTACGCCCGTTGCATGCGCCGTTAGTCACGCCGATCACTTGACACAGAAGTACAAACCAGGCTTTACCTGTAGGTTTCACACAAGCCTGAAGGACTTAATTAGTAGGGGTGTCAAAATTAATTGTTTCTTCTGTGCACTGCGATGCGGTATCGACAGTTCGGTATCGGTTCAGTAATAATCATAACCGGTTATTATGTACTGACATCATTAATCTCCTATGCGCTCTGTCGCGAGGGAGTTGAGCGTGAGTATTTACAACACTCAGCCCGTGGCATAGGAACCATAGGCAAATGCTAAGGGCGCTGTAAGTTATATCCAAGGGGGCGCCAGAAATGAGCGCAGTTCAGTTGGTTTTGTTTACGATATTCCTGACACACAATCAGTTATAGACGGCAATAACTCAAAAAAACTCTTACCCTAAAGAGATTTAAAGTGTGTTTCCTACAAAAAGACAATACTGGTTGTTTCACAGCTGTCTTTTTTTTTTTTTTTTGCTTGACATTACGAGCACTGCTCTGTTTAAGCCCTCGCAATATGTGTTTAGCCGGGGGAGCTCGCGCTGAGAGGAGCTCTCAGTAAGGGACCGTCGGAAAAGTGCTTCTTTTTTTAGTTTTTTTCTTTTCGTTTTTCTGCTCCGCTCAGCGCAAGCTCTCCCTGTTGCGAGGGCTTAAGTGCGTGTGTGTGTTGGTGTATGTGTTTGTTTGGTGCGGTCTATGTTTGTGCATGTGTTTGAATGAGAGACAGTGTGTTGCTGTGTGTCTGTGTGTTTATACAGACAGCTTGTTATAGCCTCCCCCCTAAAATATAACACTGTATATGGAAAGCATCGTCAATGCACCGTGATGCACCAAGTTATCGAATTGAACCGAAGGCATGATAATCGTAACCGAACCGAACCGTGAGATAAGTATAGGTTCACACCTCTATTAATTAGTCTGATCAAGTGTGTTTAATCAGGGTTAAAGTTAAACTGTAAAGAGCTGCGGCCTTCCAGGAACTGGATTTGGCGTGTGCATTAAACGCACATTCTTTGTTTTGTGGCATACGAGTGAATACATTACGACCTCATCGCCATTTTCAACCACTAACATTGGCAACATTATCACATAGTAAATTTACTAAACACTGATAGTAAAAAACTAATACTCAATTAAATCGTTATCAATTTACTGAAAAACAATTAATCCAGCAGGTGGCGTTTAGAACAGCAGGAATGACTGTGTTTCCTTGGTTACTGCAGTAAACAAACCAGTGAGATGTCAAATCTAGCAGGATTTTATAGATTTCATAAGCTCCACAGAATCCAATATTAGCAGGTTAAATTCAGGCAAACTTTAACATACTGATACAAAATTTAATACCTTGTTAAAAAAATAGCAGACTTTTAAGGGCCTTAAATGTCTCTAAATTGACTTTAAGACCTTGCGGACGCCCTGTTATAGTCAATCTTAAGACAGTCATTGATACTAACTCCAAAGCCTTCAATTTTGACATCAGGTAAACTTTAAGCAATAACATGCATGTTGATATAGGCTTGATTTCTCTCATATGCATATTAGCCCAGTTCTGTGAGTTCCTGTGGTGTGACCCACTCACCTCCCCATGTGTTGGCTAAAGGCAGGCCGCTGGAGAGAGGCAGGGAGGGCTGGAACGCAGGCTGCAGGTCCAACAGATCGTTCGGCACCTTTGGAGTGCTGGAGCCAGACACAACCCAAGACAAACACAGACACGCACACAAAGAGGAAACGCATTAATGTCTTCCATAAAATGGCAGTGGAAGTGCCAAGCATTTCACAGTTATATGGCAAAGACAAACTTGGCACGATGATTTAAAGTGCTTAAAATGGAGACTTAAGGGGTTTGGGGGAAATTCACATGCAATCAATACCTTCTTCACAGCCAAATCCTGTCTGGGCAGGAATTCACACACAGAAAACTGGAGGACTTTTTTTTTAACAAACAAAGCTACACAATTTTAGGACAGTGGTAATTAATCTGAACGTATAATAAATTATGCTAGTCTTAGCTAGCTCTATTATTAATGTACATTCTTGTGGCTCCTTGAATGACATCATAAAAAGCAATATAGTAAGTTTGAGACGTTGTGTAGTCCTGCATAGAGCTCTAATTAAACACTAAAGGCTGAAGATTGATGCCATACAACTGCACGTGCACTCAAGCATCAGCTGGCAAAATAATCATGAACAGCTGTGTATCATCACAACAGAAAGACTGAGAGATCAATTATGAAATACAGAAATATTTGTTTTGCCCACACAGTATGATAGGCTGAAAAGCATTCAAACTGTTGAAATCAGCATAAAACCATTTATCGTATGATGAAAAACATTATTTTAGCCAGTAACAGTGAAGCATTAACTTTTTTAAAATAGGTATAGAGCCACTTATAAGCAGAACACATTAAAATGTGGCAACCTTTTCCAAAATCACAGTGCATGTGCATGACAAATTTCATAAAGTTCTGAGTATTAGTTAATAAAACTCATGATTTTGTCCATTTTATAAATTACTCTGTTATAAAAACGCATACTTTACTGATAATTATTAATCAAGGATTGAACTCCTAAAAATTCTGACAAGAAGTTTTTTAGCTCTTCACGCTCAAACTAAATCTTAACCTAAAACCTAAAAAAAGTTAAGCTTTAACCTAAATTAATTTTATTTATTTATTTATTTTTGCATTTCTAGGGTTAAAACAGCTGGATAGTAAACATTATACAGCTTATTTCATTTTTGACCTTATTCTCCAAAAAATCCCTCCAAAAAAAGTCAATTACTACTAGTTTCCAGTATATTTTAAAGTTCTTGTGTTCAAACGAGGACTGTGCGATTAATTGTAATTGCATTAAAATTGAAATCACCAATCAAATGCAGTGAGCAGGAAACTGAATGGCCTGTGTATACAGGGATGGGGATAATTCAGCACAGGAGGACTTGGTGCAAAAAGTGTCAACATCTGTTGTATGGGATTAAGTTACTTTGGATACAGGGAGGCTGATGTATGGCAGAAGCAGGCAATTTATAAGTCAGTCATATATTGCATCTAAAAGCGTGTGGAAAGTGTGAGTGTGTCGCTTCTTTCAGCATTTTCAATGTGTTTTGCAGTCGCTTCTTTGTTGTTGTTCTGTGACCATTAACTGTTTTCTCAGAGGAGGACAACCTGACAAAACATTGCTGCAACTCCGATACAAGTTTATATGTATGGAGAGAATTAAAAACCACTTGGGTGTCTTGTATTTGTCTGAGGTAACCAAAATGTGTGCGTTCCATACAGAGTATGAAGCTGATTGGTCAGTTCTTGTAATGTGACTCATTACAAGGTGCAGCATTTTGAAAAGTTACATTTAAAGATTTTCTGATAAGAGATGTTATTAGCTGGGTGCAATATGCGCACGCTATCCATGCACCTCCACTGAAAAGAATGGACTTGTGCGCGCAAAAGACGTGATATGTAAATGCTCTATTTGAATTTGATAAAGATCTAATTGTTTTTCTTTTAAAATAGGTTTCAGATTCAGAAATCGTAATATTGTTTAAGATCATTGTGATATACCCATATTGCAATATCACCCATATCACACAGACAGATTTGTAATTTTTTGGGTGAACTGCCACACCTTTACACATAATGTGATGTAAAATAAAGTTCAACTAAAGAAACTATTACCTGTTAGCAAAGGTACTGGTTGCGGAGAACAAGTCAATGGCCGGAACGGTACTGATGGACCCCGTCTCGGTGGAAACTGGAGATGCAGCAGTCGTGGAGGTTGTGGAAGGTTTCTTGGACAGTTCCTTCAGCCGCTGCTCCTGGGCGATTAGGAAATAAAACAGCTTCCCTTGTTAATTACTCTAATGCTTTAATATAATCAGCTTTTGCAGATGATCATTACATACCTTAAGTGCTTTTAATCGGGCCTGCTCCTCCTCCAGAGCAGCCTGCTTTTCCCTCTCGTCAGCTTTGGTGAAAGAGATACCCGTGTTGGCCAAGGAGGACACTGCGTTGGACAGCGTACTGGCTCTGTGTGGAAAGATGGACAGATGAACAGAGTAAACATGCCACTGCAGGCTACAGATTAACATGTTAGCCAAGAGCAATGAAGCTCCTCACTAAAACAGCATGCCAGAAAATTTAGGGGAAAACAAGCATTTCTATTCCTTTCAGGTTTTTTGTCGTTTAGTCGTTCTAATATACAAGATTTCTGCATTTATTAGTGCACCTTCTAACAATATTAAGTCACACTGGCAGGAAAAAGGTTGTAAAATGCATCAGTTTTTGAGGCTTCCATTGTAAAAATACTAAGGTTGCATCATGTATTGAATATCAGTGAGGTTAGTGTGAGCATGAAGCACATTTTTACGGTTTCCTCTTCAGGAAGCCAGTTTGACCTCGGACGTATGTGAACAGTCAATGTAAGCAAAGCATGCATGTTTTTAGCCTATGTCCAAACTGCAAGTCAGCAAATTCCAGTTCATTTCTCCTGTATACTCGGTTGAATACATTTCTAGAAATATTTATAAGAATGAACAAGTAATTATGAAATCACATATGTCATTTAAATATGTAAATAAATATACCAAAGTTTATATATTTTATATAAACTTTATATATACATAACCTTCAGCTGAAAATACTGTACCAATAAGCAAAAAAGCAAGCAAGAATTTAATAAATACATTTATATTCATGGAAGACCCAAAGCATCACTTTTGTATCTTTTCTGTTTAGATCTGTTACAGCTGACATCCCAAAAACTGTTTTGTTGGCTATTGGTGCAATTTAAAGTATGACTTCAAGTTGTGACTTTAAAATATTTTGAATTTAGATTAATTCTAGATGGCAGAAGCCAATTGTTTTCTGCATAAAAATCATTATTCCACTCTCTAAATCCCTCTTACTTCGAAATACTGCACAGAACTTTTAACCTGACAGAAACTCCCTGAAACACCTCTCCAACACAAACACACACACGCTCATGCTCAGTACTTCCAAAAGTTGCACACACTCGCAGAATGCCGAGTATGAAGACAGCAACCCCCTCACAAGCTAAAAAAGTTCAAAATTAACTGCTTGAAAATCAGTGTACCTGCTGGCAGCTGTGGAGTCTTTGACCTTTTTCCCCTCTAATGAAGCCAAATGCTGCTCGAGGGCATCCAGAAGGCTACTGGGGGCCTGGGAGAATGGAAACATTGGGTTAGTTTAAAGGCCACACACTCACAAAACAAATATATACGCACACAACATTTATGGGTGATTGATCAATTAGGGGCAGTTGAGGAATTTCCGAAAATGTTTATTCTTTGAATTAAATTAGTCATCCATGTTAAATCGTGTCATTTTTAAAAACAAGGACTGAACTACGAACAACCGTCCGCATTTTGGACCATTTCTAATGTTGTACTTGATGGTAATGACAACTGTTTGATGCTTTTGGTATACTGAAGGAGTTAAAAGGACATGATAATAATCATGATAAAAAAATAAATACACCTTATTTAATACAGCTTATGAAAGAAAGAATAAACAAATGAAAAAATATATAAGTAAACGAGAAAAATAATAATAATCTAAAAGTAAACATCAACAAAAAAAGAGAAAAAATAAACAAGATAAACAAACAAGAAAGAAAGAGAAAGAGATAAAAAAACTAAAGTAAAAAAAACACAAAAAAGTAAGAAAAGATAAACTAAAGTGAAAAATTTATAAAGAGAAATAAAATATAAACAAACTAAAAAAAGAAAAGAAAGAAAGAAAGAAAGAAAGAAAGAAAGAAAGAAATGAACAAACTAAAGTAAACAAATCAACAAGAAAGAAAAAGAAAGAAACAAAGAAACTAAAGTAAAAATGTACAAAAAAAAGAAAAGAAAGAAAGAAAGAAAGAAAGAAAGAAAGAAAGAAAGAGACAGAAAGAAAGACAGAAAGAAAGAAAGAAAGACAGAAAGAAAGACAGAAAGAAAGAAAGAAAGACAGAAAGAAAGAAAGAAAGAAAGAGACAGAAAGAAAGAAAGAAAGAAAGAAAGAAAGAAAGAAAGAAAGACAGACAGAAAGAAAGAAAGACAGAAAGAAACACTTGCTGTAATCAAGAAAGAAAGAAAGAAAGAAAGAAAGAAAGAAAGAAAGAAAGAAAGAGACAGAAAGAAAGAAAGAAAGAGACAGAAAGAAAGACAGAAAGAAAGAAAGAAAGAAAGAAAGAAAGAAAGAAAGAAAGAAAGAAAGAAAGAAAGAAAGAAAGAAAGAAAGAAAGAAAAAAAACACTTGCTGTAATCAAGAAAGAAAGAAAGAAAGACAGAAAGAAAGAAAGAAAGAAAGAAAAGAAAAAAACACTTGCTGTAATCAAGAAAGAAAGAAAGAAAGAAAGAAAGAAAGAAAGAAAGAAAAAGAAAGAAAGAAAAGAAAAAAACACTTGCTGTAATCAAGAAAGAAAGAAAGAAAGAAAGAAAGAAAGAAAACACTTGCTGTAATCAAGTCAGAAAGAAAGAAAGAAAAAAAAAACACATGCTGTAATCAAGAAAGAAAGAAAGAAAGAAAGAAAGAAAACGAAAGGAAGAAAGAAAGAAACAAACAAACAAACAAAATCCTTGGACATAAGAATCAACTCCAATAAATGAATGAACTAATAAATGAGTTTCACACTGACACAGAAGACAGCAGATTACGATTTTAAAATGAACCCTATTAATCATATAGAAAAATCACACCAGACAGACAGAAATGTCCTCCTAATTGAAGAATCACAGCTATACGAAAACTCAATAGCATGCAAAGACGGACAACAAGCACAGGTATAAAGCAAAGGCTACAAACCAGAGAAGAGAGTACTTACACAAACTGTAAACTGAAAATGGGAAGATAAGGAAAGATACAGAATATAAAGGTGGTTTAACAGAGGTGTTCTCAGAGCATTAAAGAAAATGCTAAATAGTGAACCAGAAAACAAACAAACTAAAATATAGTTGTTAAAAAGTTAGTTCACCAGAAAAATGAAAATCTACTCACTAGGAGTTTCTTTTTTCTGTTGAACACAAAATAATATATTGTGAAGAATGATAAAAACCGGTAACCAGGGTGCGACTGATCTCCCTGAAGATCTGTATTTTAAATAATAATGTTAATAATTAAAATAATAGACATGCATTTGACCCCACAATAACGGTTCATACCGTTGTGAATGTATAATCGCACCAATCAGTCCATGCGAGAAAAAAAGTCATTATACAGTCTGAAACCGGCAGATTTAGAAGACTGATAGACATCGTAAGAGACCTAACAATAACGTTAAATTGGATGCATTGTTTGTATAGTTTGCCCTAAAATAAGCCGAAATAGCTAATCAGGTCACAATACACCCAAGCCCAATGACAATTCTACCCCTTAGCCCTTCCCCTTATGCGCAAAATGAGGGGTAGGGGTGTCCCAATTCTCTTTAGCTTAAAGGCGCAGAGCTAACAGAAAGGCGTAGATACTCCATTGAACTGAGATTTTTCAGGACCACACATGAAACCAAGGGGTAATAAATTTTCCCAGAATAAACCAGCCACAATGGCAGCATAGCTGTACCCGGAAGGAGATGCACAAATTAATGTTTTTTTTGTCATTATTACGAATTTTTACAACAAACAAGCACATGTTTAAATACATTCTTAATTGCTTTAGTGTTATATCATCATGCTTAAAAAAAAAAAAAAAAAAAAAAAAAAAACGCTAAAATCAAAACAGCTAAATTTCTATTATTATCTAAAATAATAACTTCTATATAGCAGTCCCACAACATTGACACTCAAATACCCTATCAGAAAAGTCTAGTGGTTAGGAATGACCTTTTTACAGCGTCTGGTATAATGTTAATGCTGTTTTCGTGTGTTTACATAGATGAATATGGCCACGGTGTCATGCACAGTACAACAATTACAAGCTTACTACCACATTACATCATTATGATAACATGATATCACTGCCTTCAGTGATTTCATGTTCGCGATCATCTGATCTCATATGAAGAAAGAGATCGCAATGACATATAATAACATGTGCAGGTGCAGTAGTGCTGTCCCATTTCTTAGGGGTAAATTTTGAAGCCCTTCCCCTTCAAATTCCGTTTCAAGGGCCAAGGGGAAGGGGTACAAAATTAGAATTGGGATTGGGTTTAAATATCCCACAAAACACTAAAAACTTAAATACATTTCAGTGTTTCCTCTAGGATTTTTTCCAGCTGTGGTGGCAGGCCTTTTACACAGATCTTCCAACAACCTATGGTGTTATTTAAATGACAAATGTCACGAGCGCAGTATAACAAGTCGAGATCGCATTTATGTAATACGAGCATGCAAATCTCTTTCCTGGCACGCATGATTCCTCTGTTCATGCGCAAAACGTCTTGCACGTCCTCAAATATACGCTGCTCAATCACAGATCTTCTTGTGCACTCTCAAAAAAACACTGCTGAAGTGCGATTTAGTACGTTAATGTTTCTAATATTTATTAGATTTGCTAGAAATATTTATGAATGTCTCCAATAGACCTACAGAACAGCAATAATGCATCATGAAGTAAAGTGAAACTGCTATAAAATCCAGCAAGATAAAGTCATTGTATGACGAGCCATAGACTTATGTATTAAGTATAATTATGGAAACTGTGTTTATCGTAACTGAAAGCTATGTCGTGTTTGCTAGACTCACGCATAGCGCATCTGTCAGACAGTCAGTCAGTCAGCATGTCACCTTAAAGGGTTAAACGAATAACGCACAACACCACTACAATTACCGAAAAGTTTGCTCTGTTATAATTCACTTGTCTTTTAATACGGTTTGATGTGAATTTAACTTGCTATTAAAAAAACAACAACAACGACGACTGAATGTTTTTGAAGAGAAACTATAATGTGGCGGGAGGAATTTTGGTGTGGCACCCCGCCATGGAAGAATGAATGTAGCGGAAACAATGCATTTTATGAATAAATTAGATGTAATTTAAATAAACACATACATTTGATTAACTGAAGCATGTATTACACAACCTAACATTAGAAAAAAGTTGACCCCTTCGATTGTCACTGTATAATTCGCACACTGCCGGTAACCAATGACTTCCATAGCATGAAAAACAAATTCGTTGGCAATCAATGATTAACAGTTTCCAACGGTCTTCAAAATAAAACGATTGTGTGAGCAAACAGAAGAAAGAAACTCAAATAAGTTAAACAAATGAAGGGTGAGTAAATGAGAGAATTTGCAGTTTTAGGTGAACTATCCCTTTAAGTTATGATATAAAAAAATATATATTAACTGATTCTGAATGTTAATATCTCGAGTAATATTAATGATCATCATTCTGGCTTCGAAAAACAAATCTACCACACAAAAAGAGTGACCTTCTTGTTTGTCTGTCTCCTGAATGAACAAACATGTTAAAAGCTAGCTCTTCAAAAGCAAAATTAAGCCTAAATCTAAACTGCAAACATTCTCAAGCTTGTAAGCCACCGTGAGCATCACACCTTTATGTGCTGTATGAATCGAGCATTGAGGACAGCTAGAATCGTTTCCCCATCTGTGTCATGCAGAGATGTCCGCATGCGCCGAGTGCTGCCGGCCTGTGGTTTGCAGCTTCAATGCACAAGCAAATTAGCCACAGTTCTAGAACTCTCAGATGACTTTTCCATCTATAACTGACGTTAAGCACTGAGATTTCTAGGTAACTGCATGTTAGAGAGTTCTACAACTGGCGCTCATTTAAATCTCACTGAGCAGTGCTACTGTAAGTTTGGCTGTGGAGCTCAAGCTGGGCGTTAAGGGCAGAGTGACATAAGTAGAAAGGGAAGCAATCAAACAATGTGCGTTTATACTCAAAACCAAGGTCAATTAATGCCCTTACCTGTGACAGGTCCGGTATGTCTCCTCGGTCGATTCCCACTTGCTGTAATGAGGAGGGAGGAGTGAGTTAATGTTGATCCCTATTAAGCTGCAGCTTTTATTGACATGTATTTTTTGTCATTGAATGGATGTCAGTCCGATTAAGTAGCTTCACTTGAAAGCAAAATTAAGACCTGGTTCAAATGATTTAAGACCTACAACACTTTATTTTAGTGAATTTAAGTGAATTTGATTTTAAAATCTAAGACTTTAAGACTCAGCGGACAGCCTATATATTGTTGTTGTGTGTTTTATGTATGCTTGCCATTACTTTGTAAAACGTTGCCTCTAAACAAAACACATTTGAATTGACCGATAAATAGTATTGCTTCTAAATATAGCAATCTGTACTTGTTACATAAGCTGGGAGCCCCATAGTGCAGGTTACACAATCTTACCTCTGCCACTTTGAGAAACTCTGAGATTCTTGTCATTCGAGTGAGGAATTTCTTATAGATGTCCAGGCCTTCTTTACACTGTGCTTTCTTCATGTCGAAATACTTCTCTGCAGAAGGGAAAAGGGAAAAGTCAGATTATTTTTGCCTTCCCATTTCCCACCACATTTTAAGAGGTCTGCTTTTCACCAGACAGAGTTATGCTTGGCATCTGTCATGACAACATGACCCAAAGCAGCTCTCACTAGTATGTCAGTCTCTCACAGAAACCCCTCGTTCAATATGTAACCACTGAATGAGGCCAAAAGATGCAGCTTAGCCCATAAAAAAAAGTGCTGTCCAACACAAACACAAGAAAGAGCCGCTCTAGTTAGGAATTGCAATAGTATATATTCACTATTTAAACTGTAAAATAATTATTTAATTTCATGCACATAAATATATATGAAAAAATAAAACAGCAGTTAAAACACCATTAACTAAAAAACTAAAAACAAGTCTGAATTAATGGAACTGACATTAAGACTAAACTGAAATTGGACTCACAATGACTCTTTTTGATTGACTTTAGATTTGGTTTGAAGATGCATTTTTTTTTTTATAAATGATGCTAAATGCAGTTTTTAATAGTTCGGAAACATTTTGTGCTTGTCCACTATTGATTATTCTCAAAAATATGAAAAAAAACAACAAAATTAATTACAGGGCTCGAAATGAAACTTTTTGCTTGGTAGCACTAGTGCTCCTAACTTTAAAAATTTTAGAAGCATGCACTGCTTGACATGAAAGAATCTTAATGATAACTGTGATGTATGTAATAACTGTGGTTCGATATTACACCAATGCTTTTGACATATAACTTAATATTTGAATATGTCATCTTAATAGCAATAACCGTCTTTTCATGAGCTGCAATATTAGTTTATTCTTAGTGTATGCAAACCGTTCTGCGATGATGTACAGAGTGTTAAATTTTACATTCAGACCATTTCAATGTCATTAGCTACGTTTCCATCCACCTATTTTTATGCGCATTTTGGATATGCGAATACAAAAACGGTTGATGGAAAACGCCAAGATTCACATCAATTTTGAAAATGTGCATTAAAAAAACGTATAACCAAGTAGGATATACTTTTTATTCGATAAGAAGAGATGCACATAAATATGGTGGAAACACTTTTACTGCACAAATTCCAGTATGCGCATTAACAAAGGTCATGTGATTTTGTTAAGAGATCATGTGTTGATAATAATGTGTGCGAATGGATAAACCAGAAGGCTGAGCACACTAAAACATCTGAAATGTTTATTTGGTCATTCTAAAACGCCGTAATCGTTTCAGTTTTAATGTTATTATGTTATTAATGACCTCCAGAATCAAGAGCATCTGTGCTCCGCGTCTCACGTCTGCAAACGCCACCACGCGTTCAATGCGTGTCAAGATTGCTTTCTGAGGTGCAAGTCATATATTTAATGAAGCAACAACTCACACAGCTTCTCCTACCACAACAAATTACGCTTTTACTCTTGATATTTGGCACCAGTTAATCAGGAAGTGACAATATTTTTTGCTTTGACTTGGATGGAAACGCTGCTTTATTAGCACGTCTCTTATAAGATAATCTAGTTTAGCGCATAATGTTATTTCACATTTTTGGATGAAAACATAGCTATTGGGCTATGAAAACAATTTCCTGCTTGTTATCAAATTATTTCATAACTGTAACGAGGCAATTTAATTATAACAATGTTAAAACAGCTCTCATGACATTATTTATTATTATGTAGCTCTTTTTGGATTCTCAGAAGCTATTGAAATTAAAAATATAAAACAGGAAATACATTGGGACCATTGTATTTTGTTTACATCCCTCAAAATGGTCTAAAGCTGCCACTTGCACAGCTGACAGCATCCAGATAATTAAGTGAAGGATTAAACAGAACCTCTCGCACTTGAATTGTTTAAATGTGGCAAATGTTGTTACCTGCAAACTCTGTCACACCAACTTTAAGATAAATGCTTTAATCATTTTTATAGCGTTCTTAAACCCAATGAAAGTCTTTTATCCACTCTTCAAAAAGTGTATATGGTGGATTAACATTCACCACATGATCACAAATTATTTGTAACTTTAGGTGGTTTTTAAAACAAAACCTGTCAGTGCTGTTTTCAGTCTCTTATCTTCAGCGCTTCACATTTTTGTAGCTCCCTGTCATCTGAAGGTAAAAGACATTGGTTGAGTGATTGACAGCTGATATTAACCAATCCATTCACGTTGAGTTATAAAGCAATGGGCCAATCAGAAGAGCTTGAAGGCGGGGCAAGCATTGTGGGTTTTGTTTACTGCAACAAGTTGACATGTCAACCATTTTAAACTGTTCCTGAGTGCTGCGTTTTGCATTTCGGATGCAAAGATGCATTCTGCATGAATGTCTCCAAAAACATTGCGCAGTGAAAACGTTACACAAATAAAGGCAGGGCTCGAAATTGCGACCATTTTAGTCGCATATGCGCCCGAAATTTAAGCTATGTGACTCATAATATATATTGGGAGCATTCGTGCGACTGCATGTTATGGTTGTAGTGCGACCTGTTTTTGTTTTTGTTTTTTCTAAAAACGTGGTAAATTCGCTCTTCCCTGCCACTATATTGGTTCATATTAGCCGTCAATCACTCAAGACTTTCCGCTGTCAGATGACAGGGAGGGAGCTTTTGTGACCGCGGGGATTGCAAACGGCTGAAGAGTGAAATGTACACTGAATCTCAATGCGTTGCATGCACTGAGTGTTCAGCCAACACAATCTCACGGCAATTCATAACTTTTTCATACGTTTCCTCGTGAGCAGGCTGCAACAGCGCAAATGTCCGCTAAAACACCATCGCCAAAAAAGCTTGCCTTTACTGAGTTTGATATGATGCGGGTTATAACAAAGAACAGTATTGCGCCGGTGGGCATCGGGGGAATCCTGCTCTGCCCCCCTCGTATTGGGCCGGCTGACTAGCATGCTTTCCCGCAAACACAGAAAAATGTAATTCAGCGCGTAACGAGGCTGAGCATTAAAACGACACGAACCGAAACCAAAACTTTTATAAGTGAGACTTTTCCTCCTTTCTTTTGTCCGTTCTTTCTTGAAGTGTATATTATTTTTCTATTAATTACTGATGACTGCTTTGCAGCTTTCAGCATTGGATTGAATGATTTATTATATTATTTTGTTTGTTTTGTAGCAGAAATATTATTTATTAAATTGGCATGCATATAAAAACAATAGTACAAAATAAATATTTCTTACTACAATGCTTCATTCATTTGTGTTTGATGCAAACCATCAATTTATTTTTCATAAATTAACAGTAGGACTTAATATAGCAGATAACTTGCATTAAAGCACATTCAAGGCAGCATGATGATGAGAAAAATTATTCATTAATATTATTGTCATCATCATAATCAATAATATTTTATAATTATTCAACATTTATTTTGGAATTATTGCACAAATATTAAGTCATCACAGCATTAGTTAGATAGTCGTTTCTGGGTTTTGTTAGTCCCAATTGATGTTGTTTTCAAATACAATAAATCCCTTAATATACAACTTGTCAAATATATCATTCATTTTTGCTGGATGCTCCTAATTTTTTTCCGGTGCTCCTAAATTTTTTCTGGTGCTCCTAAATATTTCAGGTTGGGAGCACCGGTGCTACCAAGTAAGAAAGTTAATTTCGAGCCCTGAAAGGTCTTTAAGGTCGCATAGATAAACTTTTGGGCACATATGCGACCAAAACATTCACAATTTTGAGCCCTGAATTAAAACATTTTTTATAATAAAACAATACTTCGCTTATCACGATTTTCATTATTCAACTGTTCCCAAAAAATAACAATAAGAGCTTTATGCATATCAGTATTTGGTCTACTTCAACATATTTTTAAACGCTGTGCTTTCAATATGATCTGATGAGGCAAGTAGCAATATCGCAAGCATTTAGATAACCTGGTTTAAATCCCACTCATTGGCTAATCACCACTTCTAGATGAAATTTGCTCAGTGCATTCCAGCTTTTACTGCCCTAAACAGTGACATTGTCCTTACTTGGCCCTAAAAATACATTCAGAGACTATTGAAATGTACATGAATGGTTTATTTCATGAGCTGAACCATTCGGATAATAAACGAGCGGTCATAAATCTGTGTGACGAGTCAGGTCAGAGTCCAATGCAATAGTCGATGAGCAGGCTGATATTTTAAGTTCAAAGGTCTCTGTAACCAGAACCAATAACCCAGATAACTGGTAAAAAGCCAATATGTAGGACAGCCCATAGTGACTTTTTGAAAACATTGATAACTGCTCACCAAGCAAGTTGATGATCCCTTCATTGTAGGCCGCGAACAGACGGATGGCATCTTTAAACAGAAGCATGAACGCTGCATTAATGACCCCGTTTGTGAGCTCGTTGGCATTTACCTGGCAAAACAAAACAAGCCAAACTCAATTTAGTTTAAGATAAAAGAACTAAAAACTGCAAATTAGAAAAATACCATAAGGTCAAGAGCACTATTGGTTTGAGTAAGCATAGTCGACCTGCTGTCAACATAAACTTACATTGAAGTCGAGGAGTGCATCCATCTGGTTTTGGATGATAGGGATGGTCTTTAGAAGCTTTTCTGTGTTCATAGTTCTCATTACGCCATCCGCACTATGACAAAAAAAGAGCCACGTTAAAGAAAATATTAAGAGTTTTCAATTTTAGGATGAAATAGTGTTTTTTTTTTTATTAACAAGGACCAAAGTTTCAGCTGAATGGACAATTCTGTCTTTTTTTCATAATGTTGGCTGTTATTGAAAACAGCATGAATTCCCTCTCAGGTCACAAATCATCACCTTAGAATTAAGGTTCTATCTAATATTTTTGTCAAAATAGAGTTATTTACACATTCTTATTAAATGAAAACCTATTTACATTGTGATTTTTTTTATAAGTTGTCTACAATAAGACTTTTTATAAAAAACAAAAACAAAAAAGCTTTAGCTTGACTATGTTTTTTTTTTTCTTTTTTTCTATGAGCCATTCATTTCAAATGCACACATGGAACCAATCAGGATTAGCTTTCTTTGTCATTTCACCGGACTTCCCCATTGACAGCGGGAAAGACCAGAACGAAACACAAAATCAAAGTTGACTAAATAATGCTGCACCACACAAAATTGAAAAAGAAGTAATGTAAAACTGAAAAGGTGTGTAAATGTGATGATTTAGAAGCATTTTTTGACATTGAGATAAAATGTTAAATTTTACATTGTTGAAAAAGAAACAGTTATTCAAAAACTTTATACAATGTGATTTTATATAAATATACTGTTCACTGATTATGTGTGTATATATGTGTGTGTGTGTGTGTATTTATATTTATATACACACACACACACACACACACACACACACACACACACACACACACACACACACACACACACACACACACACACACATACACACATACATACATACATATACATAAATAATCAGTGAACAATTTTCAGTGTTTATGTAACTGTTAAAAATGTTAAACAACGCATTAGCTCATTGTCTATTTTCTTTAAAAGTCTTCAAATTTAATATTAAGCCTTAAGGGGCAATTATTTAATTTAATTTATGGGGCATATAATTCAATAAATATTATTTAATAATTAATATAATGAAATAATGTTATAAATATTACCATATTAATTACATCAAATTAACATCTGCACAGGACAAAATATTTAACACAGCCTTGTATGTTAAATTTGAACAAGAAAACAAATATTCATCCTAAAACATTAAATAAATTGTATAGAAAGCAAAAAATGCAACCTTCTAAAACATCAACGATGTTAGAACACCATTTCTTTTAAACTAAATGAATAAGCAGACTGATTCTATTTCTTGAAAAGTAATGCTTATAACTCAAAGCGGAAATTTACTTTTATAATTAGAAGATTCTGTCTGCATTTGCCCTGATTATTTTACCCCAATTTACAAATTTAAGGGAACTTTGATCATTTACATTAAGAGTACATTTAGGGTCTCTGTGTCATGTTAATGTATGAAAGAGAACTGTAAACATGTATCGTTTGCTATATGTAATGCAAAATCTTTGAAACTCAATATCTCAAAATCATTTACAATGCAGATAGAACCATCTAATTCCACGGTGATGAAATGTCACCATTGAATCCCATTAAAATATATAGATTCAATCCTAATCTCATTTAAGCAAAAAAAATCAAACATTCTTTGTTACAGGCTTTAATCAGTGTCAGTTTATGACACTGCACACATTTTTTAAAAAAATGCATACAAATCAAATGTTACAGATGTGTTAAATCATTTTAAATTCAAAATCAAGGGTAAATGTTCTAATGATAAAAAAAATAATAATAAAAAAAACATCTTGAATGGCCTGAGATTCGATTTGTAAATGAACAGAAAATGTTAATTTGTGGGGAACCGTCCCTTTAAGAACTAACAAACAAACACCTACCCTCTTTTTACTTTAGTGAAGTCAAAAGCCACTTGTCTGTATGAGACTGCCTTCTCGTTCAGGTAGCGGCTGTACCTTCGGATGAAGGTGGACATGTCATATCCTGCACACAGAAGAGAACATGCTGTCTTTAGTTTCAACAACCGGAGGGTCATGGTGAACTCTAGTCATACAGCAGACCATGCTCTGATTCCAGTTATTGAAAAATATTTTAGTTGAATTCAGACTACAATATTTTATCACGACTGTGACTCATTTATATTGCTTACAGGAAGAAAAAAAAAATATTCAGGTTTCCACAGTGTTAGTGTAATGCATGACAAACATCAGAACCCGTGAGCTTTTTCTGACTCCCAAGTATGCCAGGTCATCATGATGTGTACTAGTTTATGCCGCTAGTCATGTGCTTGCATAGAAGCATGTAAAAGTAAAACACAGAAGTACACGGTAAATAGTCTTCAAAAATACTCAAGTCAATTATTAAATGTGCCACTCAACAAATGTCCAGGAAAGTCCCATGAAAAATAAAACAATGTTATGAACATATCAACTATAACAACATAAATAAAACTACTCATTTATATTAGTAAAAATATGTAAATTGTAAAAATACAAAGAGAAAAACAAAAAAAATATATATAATGAAATACATACTAATTACAATAATTAACATGTATAATTTTTAAATATAAATAATAATACACATTAATAAAATACATAATTACCATAATTAAAATTTAAAATTTTAATCTAGTTAAAACAAAAACAAAAAAAATCTGTAAATGAACTGTCAACTCAGTTATTTAAATCTAATAGTAACATTAATAAAATATCTTCAATTACTTTTGTGTGTGTACCCTTTTATTATAATGAATAAATTTGCAAATATAAATACACATACATGAAACGGTTACTGTATGTCAGTGTTAAAGCAGCATGAAGTTGACATAAGAACTGAAAAATCATCTGACTTAGAAAGTTCTATTAACTTTCAGAAAATGGGCCCAGGGTTGTTCTCGGAAGCCTCTCCAAAGTAGAGTCTCGCAGTGCTGATTCCCCTGCTGCCTCTAGCGAGTGCTGGCTGCCAGACTGCTTGTTAACATGGGAAAAGCCTTGGGTAAATAAACCCACTAGTGCTTTATTTAAGCTGAAAGTTGGCCATGTTGTCGAACAGGTCCCATAAGGGAGTTCGGGGAAAGAAGAGCAGACAGACAACGAGAGAGAGAGAGAGAGAAAGAGAGAGAGAAAGAGAGAGAGAGAGACCTACACTATTCAGGGTATATGCTGGAATTAGGAGAGAGAAATATAAAACCTTTTTAGACCTTTTTAAAGACTCTTTTCATACAATTTAAGACCTCGTCACCACTTTAGTTTTAACTGCTAACATTGGCAACATTTTAACTTACCAACCCATGTTCATTATTGATACATACCCCTGTATACTTTTCTGAATAGCGCAAAATATGTGTTAGGAGGTAAGTTTTTTGCCGTTTTTGTTTTCGCGAATCCACTAAAGGCCACTATGTACGCTTTTTTTAGATCTCAAATTTCTCTCACGAGTGCCATTTGCACCTGCTGTTCTCACGTAAATCCACCAGAGGCTACTGTCGACTGACCCCCCCACTCATCTTCTTCCCTAAACCCAACCGATAGTGTTTTCAAACGCACAGATTGACCCAATCACCTCCTTCCCTAAACCCAACTGACAGCATTTTTAAAAGCAATCCAGAAAAGCCGTCCACATGGAGGCACAGCTGGTAGCACGAAAAGAAACAGAAGCAGTCTGTGGCATCATACCACCTTGTAGCGTTTGATTTATAGACAAATTGCAACCATACATAGCTCTGGCTACATAATTTGCGCTCTTCAGTAGAGGTGTGAACCTATACTGGTCTCACAGTTCGGTTACGATTATCATGCCATCGATTCGGTTCAATTCGATATCTCGGTGCATTGACGATGCTTTCCATATATAGTGTTATATTTTAGGGGGGAGGCTATAACATGCTGTCTGTATAAACACACAGACACACAGCAACACACTGTCTCTCATTCAAACACATACACAAACATAGACAGCACCAAACAAATAAAACAAACACACGCACACACACACACGAACACACTTAAGCACTTGCAACAGGGAGAGCTCGCGCTGAGCGGAGCAGAAAAACTAAAAAAAAAAACGAAAAAAAGAAGCACTTTTCCTACGGTCCCTTACTGAGAGCTGCTCTCAGTGCGAGCTCTGCCGGCTAAAGTAAACGCAGACTGCGAGGGCTTAAACGGAGCAGTGCTCATAATGTCGAGCGAAAAAAAAGAAAGACAGCTGTGAAACATAACCAGCTTTGTCTTTCTGTAGGAAACACACTTTAGATCTTTTTAGGGTAAGAGTTTTTTTAGTTATATGTGTGTCAGAAAAATCGAAAACAAAACCAACTGAACCGCGCTTATTTCTGGCGCCCCACTGGATATACAGCACCCTAAGCATTTGCCTATGGTGCCTATGCCACAGGCCGGCCCTGAGTTGGCTGAGTTGTAAATACCGGGGCTCACCTCCCTCGCGACAGAGCGCATAGGAGATAAATGACGTCACTACATAATAACCGGTTATGGTTATTACTGAATCAATACCGAATTGTCCGCGTCTGCATCGCAGTGCACCGAAGAAACAATTAATTTTGGCACCCCTACTCTCCAGAAATATGTACGGGTTTACGTTTTCACAATGAGCCCGTGTTGTAGCTTACAGTATATTTAATAAATGCTGATTGTAAGACACTAATCCTAAACTAAAACATTATTCATATAATGAATGAAAACGCTGATCTAGCAGGTGGTGCCTATAGAACAGCAGGAATAAGGGTTGCCATGGTTACTGCAGTAATAAAAGCAGCATGATGTCAGATCTAGCAGGATTTTATAAACTACCCAGCATCCCAATATTGGCAGATTAAATTCAGCCAAACTTTATATATATATAGTAAATGCTGTTATCTCAAATAAATACTGTTATTTCCTCAAAGAACCCTATAAAGTAAAAAGCAGGGGGGAAAGTGTGATAATTACAAGAAATTGTCCAAGGACCAAAAACATTTGATCATGATTGAACAAGAAAATACCATTTTTAGAATTATTTCTGAAGGATCATGTGACATTAAAATACATTAAAGAGCCCTTATTATGGGTTTTTGACAATGACCTGTCATGCAGTGTGTAACACATCTCTGAGTGAATAAAGACATCTAGCTGAGGGTAAACCTGAAAGTGCAAAGTGTTTAAAAATCTTGATTTTTTTAATAAAAGATTCGACTCTGGGTCGTTTAAATAATTTGTCATTTGTCCGGATCATTTACCCGTTTGTATCAACATTGACGCGAAACAATACTAAATATGTTCTGTGCCAGATACGGTAAAACGTGAACGAGCCTTTCTCTTCAAATGCTAGCAGATATGTGAGTGTGTGTGAGACTGATCATGACGGAAGAGGAGTAAACGTTAAAAAGTGAACATTCTGGTGGTTAATGCAATAATCTACCCTGCAACGAGGGATTCTTCGGCCGTTTGTTAAAGGATCAGAAAATACTTTTGATGTATGGGACCTTGTAAGTTTGACAGGAACTTTACAGCACACAGTTCGTGGATCAGTTTCTTCCGCCATTTCACAAGTTTAAGTAAGTGCGATTAAAATAGTTGCCTCCTTGTTTTCTCTAATGCTAGCTTGCAAAATATGCACTTAACTGGGTTTTGTTGCTTGTAATGGCTCCACACAGTTTGTACTGTATCTAGTTAACTGTTTATATTCAGATTTAGCGTCTAAATCCAAGTTTAAAAACAAGCAGATTGTGTCCATTCGTTGGGTAAAATAAATGCAAATTATAAGACAACGAAAGTGTTGTTTTGACCTTGCATGCATATTAGACTGTTGCTGGAGACCCTTAAAATCAAAATACAACATTTTTTAAAGCATAATAGGGGCTCTTTAAGGAGTAAATTCAGCATTGAATTGCAGGAATTAATGACATTATAAAACCAGAAAATCAAAAATAGTTATCTTATATGTACGTGATATTCCATAGTCTAACTGATTTTAATCGAGTTTTTTTCTATCAAATAAATGCGGCCTTGAGGAGAACAGACCATTTTAAAACCCCAGACCCTCCCTCCAACAGCACATCTGACCGTGACTAACAGAAGGACTGTGAAAATGCAGTGCATGTTCTGTCAGCTCCTCAAATATTCATCATGTCCGCATTTGTCTTGGGTTTTGGACGCTCATGAAAATGGATGACACAGCTGGGATGTGTTTGGAAAAACAGAATGACTAATGAAGTGTCGGGCTGAAAAAGCACCTACCTTGTAACCCGCTTTTGTCCAAAAAATTACTGAGGTTGAATAATGTGTTCCTGGAGGCCAGATATTGTACAAATCTCTGTCAACATGAAGAACAAAGAGCTCACTTTTCAATTCATTCTGAAGTTAGTCAGCATGCAAATAAACAGCACTGTCAAAGACACTAGGGTAAAGCTGAGTCGCAGCACATGTTGAAAATTTAACTGCTTCAAGACAGAAATAAAATGATTAACTAAATGTTGCTGAAATATCTAACTGAATGGTTTAGCAAAAAAAAAATGTGCTTAGTTTTTCACTCTCATTTTGTTTTAAAACCAACTTACTTTTGCAGGTTAAAGATAAAATATAAAAATTAAAGATTAAATAAGTAAAAAGTAAGATAACAAATATATTTTCTTTATTTAAAGATCAAGAAAAAATAAAGATAAAATTTGAAATTATTATATGTAATTTTTTTAGTTTAAAAAATATTATTAAAATGCATTAATTAAATCAACAATAACTAATGAATGTTAAACTAGATAAAATACAAAATATATGAAATATCACTAAAATGAAAAGTACGACAGAGTGATTAGGTTATTCTTGAAAAATGTAAGAAAAATACAAGATTATATTCTTGATGCAAGATAAATCAAATATTAGGTAATCAAAATAAATGCTATTATAAATAAATAAATATATAAATGCTTAAGTGATTTGTAAGTGACTGAAATAAAAATACAATCTAATTGAATAAAAAAGCAAATCAAAGTTCAACAAATAAATATAAAATAATTAAAATAAAAATTATATAAAATTAATAAATAAAAAAACTAAACGTTCAAAAGAGTGCCAGGATATGCACTGCAAAAATCCATATTAAAATAAGAAGTAAAAATAAAATTAAAATAAACTACAAAAATGTTCAATAAACAATAAAGGTAAGCAAAATAGCACGTAATTACATTAAAACAAACTCAAAGTTTAAAAGTCATGGATAAAATAAAATATAATTTATGACTAAAAATAAAATAAAAAATTGTTAAAAAGTTTTCAGGTATTTTCAAAAATTCATATTAAAAGATGTAAAAAATAAATAAATAAATAAATAAATAAATAAAAATACTACAAAAATGTTCAATAAAGAATAATAGGCAAGCAAAATAATGTGTAATTAAATGAAACTAATTAAATAAAACAAATAAAAAGTTAAAAAAGTTTATGACTAAAAATAAAATAAAATTCAAAAGAGTTGTCAGGTGTTTTTAAAAATTCATGTTAAAATAAGACGTAAAAATGAAAATGATTAAATAAATTAATTAATTAAATAATAAATAAATAAATAAAATTCTACAAAAATGTTCAATGAAGAATAAAAGGTTGGAAAAATAACATGTATTTAGCCAAAAGTCAGGAATAAAATAAAATACAATTTATTTTTAAAGATAAAAACATAACAAAACAAAACAAAACAAAAAAAATTCAAAATTCAAAAGTTGCCAGGTATTTTTAAAACTTTATATTAAAATAGGACATACAAATAAATAAATAAATAAATACATTTTAAAATAAAAATATTAAATAAAAAATTTTATTAAATATTTAATCAATGCAAAATCTTTTTTAGGTCAATCTATTCCAGAATTTGGCGACCCGTGATGAAGGGAATAAGTCCAAGTAAAGTGTGTGAATGAGTATTTCTGAGTTCAGTTTGTACACATTCATCATTGAATAGATATCAAAGGGGATGTGAGTGTGCAAGAGCGTGTGCATGTGTGTGGTGAGGCTGACCTCGTTGCCGTAGACCATCAGGTGGTGTGTGGTGATGAGGGATTTGAATACCACGACCCAGCTGGTGTTGGTTGTTCTCTCAAACAGCGTGTCTGCCAGCTGAGGGATGTTCACATTCATCTCATTGGTGCATTGGATCAGATCTGGAGAAAGAGGAAAAAGAGTTGAAAGAGGTCAGCATGTGCGTGCATCAGTGAGTATAAGTCAAACTGTCAACACATCGCAGAGTTTGTGTTTGCGCCATAAATAACTCAAACAGTTTTGGCAATTTAACAATTGCTTGAATTTTACATTGCAAATTTCCTCGAAAGATATCTGAATACTGGTTAAATGATGGTATTACGGTAACTCAGGGGTTAGCACTGTCACCTCACAGCAAGAAAGTTACTGGTTCTAGTCCTGAATAGGCAAGTTAGGAAATCATTTCTGTGTGGAGTTTGCATGTTCTCCCTGTGTTTGCGTGAATTTCCTCCAGGTGCTCCGGTTTCCCCCACAAGTCCAAAGACATGTGGTGTAGGGGAATTAGATAAACTAAATTGGCCGTAGTGCAGGGATCACCAAACTTGTTCCTGGAGGTTAGGTGTCCTGCTGATATTAGCTTCAACCCTAATCAAACACACCTGAACAAGCTAATCAAGGTCTTACTAGGCAAGTTGAATACTTGAAACACCCCAGGCAGGTGTGTTAAGGCAAGTTGGAGCTAAACCCTGCAGGGCATCGGACTTCCAGGAATGAGATTGGTGACCCCTGCTGTAGTGTATCAGTATGCGCGAATGGGTGTTTCCCAGTACTGGGTTGCATTTGATTGATACATTTTAACAATCGGAATGTATACTGCTATAGTTCAATGTAAAAAAATCATTAAGAAAGCATTTTTGCCATATCGCCCAGCCCTAGATAGTCAATTCAAAATTAATAAATACAATTTAAAATATATATTGAATATGTATAAAAAAATGAATAATTAATAAAATGATGAATTTATAAATAAAATTTATTAATTTATTAATAAAATGTTAATTTTGTAGAAATTAACATTTCATGGTATGATTGACCAATTGATAATTAACTGAAACAAATAAATAAATAAAATAAACAAAAAACAGAGACTATGTGGTTTTTTTCTATGAATTAGGGATGCTCAAAATAACCGATTAACCGTTAGCCGAAAGGGTGCATTGTAAACCAATTTATGGTACAAGTTAAACGATTAAAATTTTTTATTTTATATATTTTAAAAGTTTGGCTGCATAAGAGGCTGATCACAGCAAACATGCTTTTTGCGTTGAGAGGCACATATTTTGAATGGCTTACTAATGGCCGCTAGTGTTTTGCACGTTGCTTATGTGCACCTTGCATTTTTGCACTTTATTCATTCTTCAATCAATTGAAAGCAGAGGCAGGGTTTCCCTTGAGGTATCAGCAGTGGTTGTGTTGCCAAGACGACAACAGAGAACTTAAAAGATGGAGGAGAGACTAGTGGTCGCTGTTTCAATTTATCCAGAGCTGTGTTACTATACAAATCTTGAATATTACAATATTATTTAATATTACAATTATAACAACATTAACAGCAACATTCGCGCAAAATACCCAGCTATACATCGCCCATGAACCATGAGTGAGAGAGGAAATAAAAGCAGAAAAGCTCAGGTAAAACCAGATCCTCAAGACACCATCTTTAACCTTTAATGACATGAAAAATGTTGACAGAAGCTTGTGATATAAGAATTTGAGTGGAGCATTAATTAAAAGCATAGACACATTTTAGATGGAGCGATGGATTTGAGGTAGCCTGCTATTATTATTTGATGAAAAAAAAACACATGATGGGAAAAATATAGCCTATTGTTTAATCTAAATTTGTCATTTAAGTGATAAATATCTAGGGCAGGCCTATTTATTTTATACTTTTTTTTGTTTGTTTATACTGTTTTTCTGTGCCAATGGAAACACTGCAGCCGCCTGTTTTTATCATTATTAATCAAACAACAAATGGAGAACATGCCTCTCTGCTCTTGACTGAAGGAGTTTTAGCTAAAATGTTTTTCCTACAGTGAAGATGCTGAAAGCACAGTTTGTTTCATATTTTTATTCTATTGTATTTATTTCTCTTTCCTTTGCAGGGTGGAAAATAACTGTATATATACAGTTGAAGCCAGAATAATAAATTAAAAATATATTGCTTAAGGGGGCTAATATTATAGACTTTAAAATGGGTTTCAAAATATTTAAACCTGCTTTTATTCTAGCCAAAATAAAAATAAAAAAAGCCTTTCTCCAGAAGAAAAAATATTAGAGGAAATACTGTTAAAATTCCTTGCTCTGTGAAACATCATTTGGGAAATTTATTTTATTTTTTTAATTCTCAGGAGCGCTAATAATTTTTACTTTGCCAGTAATCGTTTTGAATAATCGTGATAACAATTATGACCAAAATAATCGTGATTATGATTTTTCCCAAAATCGAGCAGCCCTAGTAAATCGTTTATATTCTATTAACGAGCGGTGGTTGTCGGTTGGCAAAATGAACCGAAATAAGCATCTCATGAACACAACATCCAACACATTTAGAAATGTGATTCTGTGTAAAACTTCTTCGACCTAATTAACCTGAAAGTTGGATGTTTTTCCATGGAATTTGACAAATTATAGTGGTTTATCTATTCTTTTTTTTAAATGATCACCAGTAATATATTGTAATTTAATAGATTCTGACCATACCCAGCAAACAATTTTGTGTTTAATAGATGTCTAAAAGAGATCTAAACGTAGACAACTTGCTTAAAACAAGGCTAAATTTGGGCTGTCAGTGAAAATCTAATAGACGTCTAAGAATAGCCCAAAACTAGACTAGTCGTCACAGATTAGACAGACTTTGTGTAGTCATTCATTTCTGTTTATTTGATGACAAGACTAGTTTTGGCCTATTCTTAGACCTCTATTAGATTTTCACTGACAGCCCAGATTTAGCCCCTTTTTAGCCAAGATTACAATGTTTAGACGTCTATTAGACATTTATTAGACATCTTTTAAAAACAGAAAGTGCTTGCTTGGTACAGTCTATTCTGCATGTTTGTTATAATTGTTTAAATGTTTATTTTCTGTCATTCAATGGATTATCTTTTTTTTTTTTTTTTTTTTACATATTTTACTTTTCAGTGACACTTATAAAAAAAAAAAAAAAAAAAACGTGAAACTGCTCAACCCGTAAACCTTTAAACTTACTGACTCCATTTCAAATCTAGTGAAATTCTAAGCGCTGTGGCTAGCCTATTTACTGTTTCCAGTGAACTACAGCGGACTATGTGTGATGCTACGGTACCACTGCTTAAGAGTCTTAGCATTCAGTTAGAGCTGACATGGTGTGAGTGAGAGACATGCACCGATATCCTGTGCTTTATTACTTGTTTGGCTGCGCTCCACAGCCATCTGCACTGCGAGTGCGAGAGCGGGATCCCTCAAGGCTTTCTCCCCACCGCCGACACTGTGAGACTTCATTCAGAGGCGCAGCTTATCATGCCATTCATGAAGCCTCCGCACAGACACAGAGGGAGGACACCATTGCCTCTCTCCAACTCTGAACCGCATTATATCATCGTAAAGAGGAGAAACCACTTCTAAACTCAAACAGAAAACCCACTTCCACTCGTCACTGCAAACCATTTCAAAGACACAACAGCAATTACACACGCCCTGACAAATTGCCGCCCAATATTAGCGCATGTGTTGGTTTTTGAAGTGGGAATGTGAAAATATGCTGCACGGCAAGCATGGGTGGTCTACAGAATGCCCTCTCTTTTACAGATAACATTCACCATTTAAACCTGCACAAAGGCTTGGCCACGTGACAACAAAAGACTTTTCAGAGGCAACACAAAACGCCTGCGCTGATCATGACAGCGCTCCGAATGAACACATGCATGAGCCTCGACAGACAGATCAAAGCCAGAAGACGACACAGACTCTGTGCAACGGGGTTATCGGCCTACATCTGTAACTGGACACTGTCAAGTTTGCCCTACATGTTCAACAAGCACATCTGAAAGAGTTGAGAGATAAAAATCTCTCCCATGTTGTAATTTACTGTTATTGCAAAGCTACAAAAACATACGTGTTTATAATTTTTTGTTTTTTTTATAGTTGAAATGAACATCTGAGGTGTTCAATCAACTATTTATACAAATTAAGATAATAGGGCAAATTATTAATTATTATAAATAATCATTTATTAACATTATTATTAATAATCATAATAATTATAAATAATATAAACAATTATAGGCAACGCAGTGGCGGAGTAGGTAGTGCTGTCGCCTCACAGCAAGAAGGTTGCTGGTTCGAGCCTCGGCTGGGTCAGCTGGCATTTCTATGTGGAGTTTGCATGTTCTCCCTGCGTTCGCGAGGGTTTCCTCATGGGTGATCCGGGTTGGGGCTGGAAGGGCATCCGTTGCGTAAAAATGTGCTGGATAAGTTAGCCATTCATTCCGCTGTGGCGACCCCGGATTAATAAAGGGAGTAGGGACTAAGCCGAAAAAAAAAATGAATGAATGAATAAACAATTATTAATAATAAACAATGCTAGAGGTGACTTTTGGTTCTGAATGTAGCTAGTGATGCACTGTTCAAAAATAATAATACCAATTATTTTATATATATATATATATATATATATATATATATATATATATATATATATATATATATATATATATATATGTATAAAATATTGTATTATATAAAAATAAATAAATAAAATGTGCTATTATACTTGTGGATTAATTATTTTGTTCTGAAACAGAGATTAAAATCGTTACAATGTTTATTTTTGTTCTTGGTGCGGTTTGCTTTCACACTGCAAAGTATATAAACGGACCAAAAGCTCCACTTCACTTCCTAATCTGCAATTGCCACTCTGGATATACCACTACCTGTACTAAAAAAAATAAATAAATAAAAAAATAAATAATAATTTACTAATACTTTCCTTCTTAGACTTTACAGACCTGAAACTTGCCTATAGCACTTATTCATTGTTGCTCTTATAGTTGTGTAAATTGCTTCCTTGTCCTCATTTGTAAGTCGCTTTGGATAAAAGCGATTGCTAAATGACAATGTAAATGTAAATAAAAAATAAAGTCAT